TTGGGAATTAAGTGGAGGTTGAGATGTTTCTGACTAGTCAGTTGGAGAACATCTATTTCATGCATCCAAAATGTGCACCTGCAGTAGGCTCTTCCCTCTTCTTCTTGGGCTGCAGACTTCCTCCACCGGTCACTTCAAATGTGGTTCCATAACTATGGCCAATGACATTATCCAGGTAGAACCATTGTTTTTCAAAAGTTACTTTTCTAGAGAAAAAAGCAATCAATTAACTGAATATCCTTTGTATTCACTACAGAAAAGACATGTTCACTACAGTTCATTTCAAAAGTGGTCTCCACAATAGATGATCGGCAGCATTATCTCTGAGCATAAAGCAACAAAGGAACTAGAGAGATCTGGTTCGGACAGAGACATAAAATTAATGAATGAGCCATAAGAACACTGAATTTTGGAAAGGGGAAGCAAAGACAGAAGACATTCCTCTTCTGGTGGACTGGGCTGATTCCACTTTGCACTGTCTATCAGCATGTCCAAACTCGCAGGTTCTGCAGATTTCCTGAATGGCAGATGGGATCCCCACGATTGCCAGGCCTGGATACACACTGTGACACCTCTTGCAACTTACCCCAGAAAACCTCAAAACTGAACAGTCATTGAGGTAACAAAGATTTAACAAATTTCCTGGGCTGGGTCTGATTGGCCATTTTATTTGAAAATTATCTAATAAAAGCAAATTATACTTGCAAATAAACACTGACACTCTACATACTTGGAAATGGAGCCTAACACTGACAATGCTCTACTGAGGACCAGGCAGCTTGAGGTCTTCCTATGACACAGATTTTTTATCTTATTGCAATTTAAAAGGAAAATCCCACAGGAACACAAACAAGAAGACCCTGAGGGCCAATCAGGGTCTAGGCAGTGTGTGCTAGGTGTGATTCACAGTTTTTCACTTAATTCTCAAGGCAATCCTGGGACATAGCTCTTTCCAGAAGAGCAATCTGAGGTCCAGGGAGAAGTATCTTGTCCAAGATTCACAGTTGTAAAGGGATTCAAATTCAAATCTGTGTCTGACCCCAAGCCTCATTTTTTTCACTATGCCAAACACGTTACTCCAGCAAAGACCTAGGACCTTAGAAAGCCCCACCTAGCTTCAGGACATGGCCCATGTGTACAGAATGCTGAATTCTGGGAATCATGTAGTGGTTAATTGTTTGTGCCCCATCCCACTCCTTCTCTTCCTCTCTCTGTACCCCCAGGAAGCTATGACAGAATGTACTCCCACATCACCTACACTTCTGTGTCGGAGGCTCACCACCATTGCTAGTCTCTGGGTGTATCACCTTTATCGATTCCCTAAATCCTGCTACACTTTTGTGTCATATCTTCATTAAAGCTACTCAAACCATGAGGGAAATCCTACAAGATCATAAGTGATTCAGATATGGCCAATTCTTGTTCTTTGCTGGGTCCCTAGATACTTAGACACAACAGAATGTAACAGACACTCAAAATATTTGCTAACATAAACATCCTCAGATGTTGAAACTCAGCTCAGCCCAGATGTGTGCCCCCAACCCTCATCCTTCAATCACCTAGGAGCTACTAAACCACCGGATCTGGATGGATATGGTGGGTCACACTTGTAATCCCAAAACTGTGGGAGGCCGAGGTGGTGGGTCGCTTAAGTCCAGGAGTTTGAGACCAGACTGGCTGATGTGGAAAAACCCCGTCTCTACAAAAAATACAAAAATTACTCTAGTGTAGTGGCACACAACTGTAGTCCCAGCTACTTAGGAGACTAAGGCAGGAGAGTCACTTGAGTTCAGGAGTTTCTTTATAAAAAGTACAAAAATTAGATAGACATAGTGGTGTGTGCCTATAGTCCCAGCTACTCAGGAGGCTGAGATGGAAGGATTGCTTGAGCCCAAGAGGCAGCAGTTGCAGTGAGCCAAGACAACGCCATTGCACTCTAGCCTGGGCAACTGAGTGAAATCCTATCTCAAAAAACAAACAAGCAAAACAAATGAAAACACTGGATCTGAGATGGGTGGGTTTCCCTCTCTGCAAGCCTATGTGATGTGCAGAGGGGATGAAGGGTGTCAATAGAAACCGGCTGGTTTGACAGGTCACTGCCCCAGTCAGAGGAATAAGGAGGCCACATCTTCACTGGGAAGAAGTAAGATTTGCAGAGTCTCCATCCCAGAGAGCCCAGGCTGTTTTCTGCCCAACCAGAGGAGCACAGTCCCAAGGGTGATAAGGAAGTCTGATCTGTGATGCAGCTGAGCATATAGAGTCATTTTCTAAGTAAAATAGAAACTGCCACTATGACTCTGCAAAGAAGAGGGCCTGATGAAAAGTATTTCCAAATAAATGTTTAGGGCACTGGTCCCCAACCCTTTTGGCACCATGAAAGAGAAAGGCCAGGTGCAGTGGTTCATGCCTGTAATCCCAGCACTCTGGGAGGCCCAGGCAGCTGGAATTACTTGAGCCCAGGAATTGGAGACTAGCCTGTACAACACAGTGAAACTTTGCCTCTACGAAAAAATTAATTAATTAGTTTAAAAAAAAGGAAAAAGAAAAGAAGAACTTAAAAATGGTTAAAGGCTGTCGGGCGCGGTGGCTCACACCTGTAATCCCAGCACTTTGGGGGGCGGAGGCAGGCAGATCATGAAGTCAGGAGTTCAAGACCAGTCTGGCCAACATAGTGAAACCTCATCTCTACTAAAAACACAAAAATTAGATGGGCACGGTGGCATGCCCCTATAGTACCAGCTACATGGGAGGATGAGGCAGAAGAATCACTTGAACCTGGGAGGTGGAGGTTGTGGTGAGTTAAGATTGCACCACTGCACTCCAGCGTGGGCAACACAGCAAGACACCATCTCAAAAAAAAAAATGGTTAAAGGCTGGTGCAGATATTACATTTCTGGACTAAAAGAAACACAGCCCTCACAAAAGAAACTTTTTTTTTTCTTTACTGAATTAGTGCTTGTGCAAAAAGCTTGTTTATCACCAGCTTAGTACTTCGGAAGCTTGTTTCTTGACTATTTTATGATACCTGCTTCACCCTAAATACCAGTCAACAGTTTGCTTAAACCAGGAGTAAAATAATTTCTGGTAAGTACTTACTTACCCGAAATTCCAAATCTCATACTTCCTAGTCTGCAGAAAGCTGTTCCCCTGACACTGCATTCAACTTATCTCCATCAAAAGTAATACAATAATCTAGCTCAAATGAAACTGTGGCCGGCACAGTGGTTCATGCCTTTACGTGATCCCAGAACTTTGGGAGGATGAGGCGGGTGGATCACTTGAGGTCTGGAGTTTGAGACCAGCCTGGCTAACATGGTGAAACCCTGCCTCTACTAAAAATACAAAAACTGGCTGGGCGTGATGGTGCCTGTCTGTAGTCCTAGCCACTCAGGAGGCTAAGGCAGGAGAATTGCTTGAACCCGGAAGGCAGAGGTCGCAATGAGATGAGACTGCGCCACAGCACTCCAGCCTGGGTGACCGAGTAAGACTCTGTCTCAAAAACAAAAACACTGTGTTTGTATTTCTTGGAAAAATTAATCCAAACATCCCAGTAAATTTTCACCATTAATAAGCTATTAGGACTCAGCAACCCCACCAGCCCTTCCAGAAAGTTATCAAAATCCTACTTTTATGCTATCATAAAACAGAGTGATACTAGTCAGCACGGGCACAAACCAAACCTAATTTCGAGTTCTGAGGTCTTGAGCAAATTGCTTTCTAGCAATTTTCCCAGTTTTGAATCCTTTGGTGTGAAAGGAGAGAAATTCAAAGTTATTCCACACTCTATAGGGATTGTCTCCTTCACTTATTCTGTGTATCCTGTTTGGGTAGAGGAAAGCCAGACTAGGTAGGAGAGGTTTCATTTTTTTGTGGGATAGATCCTGGCTCAGGGATTAGGGAGGAAGGAGGATCTATGGTGGAAGAAAAAGGGGAACCTAAAGGAGACTCTGGGAGATAAGGATGAGAGCCTCTAGAGTGAAGACAGGAGGGGGTGTCTGTGGGAAGATAGGGAAGATCTCAAGGTCCGAGGGAAAGAACTTCAGGATAGGTGATTAGAGGTGTGGACAGGGAGGCATTCGGGCACCCTAGGGCCAAGAATGGAATTCTGGGGAAGAAACTCCGTGGAAAGACTTAAAAGGATGCTGAAGGTGGACGGCCAGATATGAAATCATGGAGGGGGGGGGTCTCTGTGGAAAAACAGGAAGGCTAGGGGAGATTACGAGGTTCAAAGACAGGATCCTGGTGGAAAAGCCCTCTGTGACAGAAAGACCCGAAGAGACAACGAAAACGTGGAACAGGGACAGAGAGGGCCAAGAATGGCACCCTGGCGGGAGGGATCTGTGGAAAGACCTGTAAGGAAGGGGTATCTACAAGGTAGGGGCGGGGGATCCCTAAAGTCCGGGACCTGACTTACTTTCTCCGCTGGACTTGTACTGCTTTGAACACATCTTCTCGTTTCAGCACTACGAAGTCACCGTCGCAGATACGGTGGTCTCCGGGATGCTGTGGTTGTGGGCCCGGCTGCTCCCCTGAGCCCTCCATGACGCTCAACCTGTCGCCGTGCTACACGGCGTCTCGCCCCTCCTCCTCCGGTGTCGCCACCGCCAGCCTCGCTTCCCACAACCCGGCGGACTCGGAGCCCTCCGACCGGCACCGCCCCCACGTGTTGCACGCCGCTTCCGCTTTCCGGTCCAGCCCTGAAGACTGCTTCCGGAAGCCCTACGGCTTCCGTCTGGCCAAACTCCTAGATTGGTTACACTTCGCCCCGCCCCTCGCGTCACGCTGCTTCTTAGAGCGGAAGTTGCATCACAGAAGCGCCAAAAAGGAATTTAGGGGAATACGTGACTTTTCCGTGAGGCGTGTTAGCGGCGTTCTGCGCTTACAGGCACGTTCTGGAAGCTGCGGTGGGGAAACTGAGGCTCCCGAGCCGTTGAGACAGATGGGATTCCGCCCCGCGCGCGGACGGCAGGAAAGCTGCGGCTGAAGAGAACCGCGGACGTGGCGGGAGTTGCCTGGGAGCTCAGATCCCGGAGCCTCCCGGTAGCCCCCTGGTGCTTCCCTGCTGGAGGGAGGGAGGAGAATCCGGCCCGGCAGATCAGCGCGTATCCTGGAGCCGGCTCAGTTGTGAACCAGAACAGCTTTGGGACCTCTGTCCCGAGCAAGAAAGAACTTAGCCTTAGGAGACGTAAATAAAGTCACGAAGCACAGCTGCCCGCCTGTGGCTCTTTTGCTCCTGCAGTCGTACTTCTTAGGCTTTGTTGAATTTGTTACTATTCACCGTATTGGCTCGTTTGAGAAGGGTAGGCACGCCGCGTTGTTGAAGGAGCACCTCAGCTTGGGAGCCTGAAGGAGTTTTATCTTTGTACTGTCAACAAACTTTGATCTTGGTCGGTTTTCTTAATTTCTTTTTTTTTTTTTTGAGTTGGAGTTTCGCTCTTGTTACCCAGGCTGGAGTGCAATGGCGTGATCTCGGCTCACCGCAACCTCCGCCTCCTGGGTTCAGGCAATTCTCCTGCCTCAGCCTCCAAAGTAGCTGGGATTACAGGCACGTGCCACCATGCCCAGCTAATTTTTTTTTTTTTTTTTGTATTTTTAGTAGAAACGGGGTTTCACCTTGTTGACCAGGATGGTCTCGATCTCTTGACCTCGTGATCCACCCGCCTTGGCCTCCCAAAGTGCTGGTATTACAGGCGTGAGCCACCGCGCACGGCGGTTTTCTTAATTTCTTTGAGCATCAGTTCCGTAATGCATAATGCCTAATTATCGGAGCCCTGTCATGCCGTGAAATCGTGAACTTTCTAGTTACTAACTTGTTCATTAACTAAAGCCCTTTAAGGATTCGGATAAGTTCTTTTGTAATGAATTGCACTGCAGCGTACAGATATATCTTTATTTACTTTTATACTTTGGATAGGAATCATTTTTAAGTAGACTTGTATTTTAAAAGAACAGTTTTGGGTTCACAGAAAAATTGCACAGAAAGTGGATGTGACACTGCAGGACTGCCTGTATGTAAGAAGCTATGATGATGTATCTCTAGTGACTCACAGGCCAGAATTATGTTCATCCTGTTCTGTCCTTTAAGTCTCAAATGCTGCAAACAACTTTTCATAGAGTTAATTACCTGTCCTATTTTCATTTCTGTGATGGAAACTTCTTGTAGACAGATACAGTACCTTTCCTTATTTTTAGCCTATGAGACCTGTGAGCATCTAGTATAAACTATATTTAATAGTTACTAAACTGTTGAATTATTGTATACCTTAGAAAGCTATAGAGATGAGAAACCTAACTGCAGAATATTTGAGTCTTGTATCATAGGTGTACAACTTTGCAAGACTGTTTGCTAGTCTCAAAGCTAGAATACATCAATTTTCCCCTTTTTATTACCTTAATACATTTTTAGGAGCACTATTTACAGCTTTGGTGAAGACCTTTTAAATATCTATCTTTTAGGACGGATGAGTGGAGAGTATAGAGGCAGAGGATTTGGACGAGGAAGATTTCAAAGCTGGAAAAGAGGAAGAGGTGGTGGGAACTTCTCAGGAAAATGGAGAGAAAGAGAACACAGACCTGATCTGGGTAGAACCACAGGAAAACATACTTCTGGTAGGTGTGGTCAATGATTGTTCAATTTTTTTCTCTTCATGAAGGAAGCATCTCATGTCCATCATACAAGGTGGTTTATCTCATACTTCGGTTTGTCTTTTATACTACTCCTTAGTAAGTATTTTAACACTGATGTCCCAAATTCTTACTAAAACCTCTAATTAGATACTCTATTAATGAGAGTCTCATTTGGAAACAGAAGCAAACTGGAAAAACGTTCACTCTGTTTCTACTAACCTAGTATTTTATTTTTTTTCAGAACAAACCCCACAGTCTTTGCTTTCAACAAAGACCCCACAGTTAGTACAGTCAACATTGGATAGACTGATACCATATAAAGGCTGGAAGCTTTATTTCTCTGAAGGTAGGGTTAAAAAAGAGCAAAAAGCACCATAAATCATATTTTCTTAACTTGTCTTTGTATGCTACATCTCATATTACTATAATTTACTTACTGACATGTACCTGCTTTAATCTTAGTTCACCCAAAGAACTAAATGATGTTTATGTTTCAAAAGCATTTTAGGTTTTATATCAGTAAGGAAAGCAGAAACCATGTTATGTATTTCAAAAAGGGAATTTAATGCAAGAAATTGGATACAAAAATGGAAGACTGAAAGATCAGAATGAAAATATTGAGGTAACCCCTTAGAAAGTAGTAACTTTAGCCGGGCGCGGTGGCTCAAGCCTGTAATCCCAGCACTTTGGGAGGCCGAGGCGGGTGCATCACGAGGTCGAGAGATCAAGACCATCCTGGTCAACATGGTGAAACCCCGTCTCTACTAAAAATACAAAAAACTAGCTGGGCGTGGTGGTGCGTGCCTGTAATCCCAGCTACTCAGGAGGCTGAGGCAGGAGAATTGCCTGAACCCAGGAGGCGGAGGTTGCGGTGAGCCGAGATCGCGCCATTGCACTCCAGCCTGGGTAACAAGAGCGAAACTCCGTCTCAAAAAAAAAAAGAAAAGAAAGTAGTAACTTTAGGAAACAGCAAACCATCCTTATAGCTAAGAGAAGAAAAGAAGTTCTGAGGTTACCAGAATGTAGGAATTCAAAGGTGGGAGAGATCACAGGATAGCTGTTATTTTGACTTCTGAGAGGTACCCTACAAAGCTATGCTTGGACTTCTGAAGGCCGTCTTACAGAGCTGTACTTAGACCACTGAGGCAAATGAAGCTGGTTGCCACTGGTAGCTGAGGGGGCATGACTCTGGTGCTTGGAACTGGAGGCTAGCACTATGGTTATCTTCTGCAGCTGCAGAGATGCTAAAAAGAATTGGAAACAAGAATAAATTCCTTTCTTGCTTCCTGCCACCCTCCAGTCTCTAAAGTGCCTTCAAATGGCAGAATTTAATCTGAGAAATGTAGGGTACAGATGTGAATTATAGCATCACAGAGCAGAAAATAGAACAGTGGGCTTGAAATCAAGGGACAGTAGTCAATACAGCTTGTATAGAAACACAGGTAAGGAATCTCCCTTTGATAATTAAGAATACCAGTTAACCTACATCAGTCTGTATAGGTGTGGGGAACTGTCTTTTCTGTGCTGTTAAAATATCGATTTGTTTCTTATGTCTCAGGGGTGTGTGTGTGTGTTGTGTGTGTGCTTATGTATATTATGCCTCATGGGGGGGGTGTGTGTGTGTGTTTTAATCACTAGACTATTGAGATCCAGGACCCTCCCTGCCCCCCAGGCACTCAGTAATCATTTTGTGAATGAATACTTTCTAAATGTTTTCTTTATTGAGAATCTGTTTGATTTTTTTCCATCAATAGAATCTGTTTCATGCATGATCTTTGGTTCCTTTAGGGTGCATTACCCACCAGCACTCACATTAGTCCCCTAGCAGGTAGTATAGAACACTGTAATTGATCTTTGGACTGTCCTAAAGATGGAGTTCAAGAGGTGCCTTAGCCTTGACCGCTTGTACTTCGTAACTACTTTATTATACTGTTCTTCTGTGGAAGACATATTTAAAAATACGGAACTTTAGAGTATTTTAAAAAAAAAAGCTTCAGTTTTGCCAGCAGAGTCAAGTGGTCTGTTGGTATGTCTCCTGATCTCAGGAAACACTGTGATTGTCTTCAGCTCTATTTCAGAATAAGAGTTTAGTTTATATGTCTGGCTTTGGCTTTATTATAATTTTTGGTTTAAGCTTATTGTCTAAGTTATTTGAACTAACATGTCCTATTAGGTGTCAAAGATACATAACAGTGTTTCTCAAATATTGGGGCTTTTAGAGAGAGAGACTTTCTGTCTGCATTTCACATTATGAATACCTAAATTTGTTTTAGAATCTTAAGTATAAATTCTATATCAGTCCTTAAATGAATGCAATCAAAATACAAAGCAATTAGAAAAAAATCTACCATGTATATAGTGCTGCTTTTGTTTCATGAAAAATACGTTTGTACATGTGTGATTATTAGTGTTAATGCCTTATTTGTTGGCTTAGTTTACAGCGATAGCTCTCCTTTGATTGAGAAGATTCAAGCATTTGAAAAATTTTTCACAAGGCATATTGATTTCTATGACAAGGTGAGATTCCTCTACAGTAAAGCTACCAGTCACGTGCCATCTTATCAATGTATTTGAGGTGTTGGTGATTATGATTATAGGCACTGGAGTCAGACTGCCTTGGTTCAGACCTCAGTTCTGCTACTTACTGCAGTATGGACTTGGATTAATTACTTCTCTGTTCTTCAGTTTTCTCTTTCATTTGGAGATAGAGGTATAAATACCTAACTCAAAGGTTTGTTAAGAGGCATCAATAAGTTAATATTTTTTAAATATCAGAACCATGCTTGGCACAAAGCTTTTACTTATATCGTATTTACCATTATCACATATAAACATTGTAGGCTTTCTCAAAGTGTGTAATAGAATGCCCACTTATGGTAATTGACTACAGAAAAGCAATTATTGTTTTCTTTATATATATATATGTATATATATATATTTTTTTAAGACAGGGTTTCACCATGTTGGTCAGGCTGGTCTTGAACTCCCAACCTCAGATGGTCTGCCCTCCTTGGCCTCCAAAGTGCTTGGATTACAGGTGTGAGCCACCACGCCCGGCCACAATCATTGTTTTCACACTTTTATATTTTATAGGATGAAATAGAAAGAAAAGGAAGTATTTTGGTGGATTTTAAAGAACTGACAAAAGATGATGAAGTAACTAACTTGTTACCAGATATAGCAAATGAACTAAGAGATGCACCTGAGAAAACCTTGGCTTGCATGGGTTTGGCAATACATCAGGTAACTATTTGTCTTATGCATACTTTTGTTTAAACTTTTTAAATGTATGTGCACACACGCACACTTTGTCTAAGTTTAAAGGAAGATTTTACAGTGGTTACTTTCTCAAAGAGACACTTAGTTTTTATGAAAAGACATTGGCTTGAACTGAGAGGTTGCAATTTTGTTCTGAAAGATACCATTCATTCCGTATACAACAGCTTGTCTAAATGAAATACTTCTAACTTATTTGGATTTGCTTAATTTTGCTAAAGATTGTGCAGAAATTAAACCTTGCTTTCAAGAAGTTATACAATCTCATAGGGAAGATAAGACAAGGAATCATGGTGTTATCAGTTATGAACTTAGAGCAAAACAGAGCAACCTTAGATTTAGGTTCTGTGGCATGAGGCAAACCACTGAGTGTCCCTGTATATCAAATGGAAATAACAATTTGTACTCTGCCTGCCTGAGGTTTTTCCAGGGTCAGGTAACACAGCAAAGCACTTTTTAGGATAGCAAACATAAATACATCAAGGTAAAGAGTAGCAAATCACAGGACAGGCATACACAAAGTGCTGGGACGTTCAGAGGGGCATTCTCCTACCTCTTGCATATGGTGTCCATTCCACATGGAATCCCCTTCCCCTCACGTAGGCAGATTATTTGGGCCTAGCTCAGTTGTCTGTCTGTAAAACCTTTCTCATGACTACTTTTCAAAACTTGCATGGTATTTTGTCTGTACATCTTTAAGGTCCTTATAACAATTACAGTTGTATATATGCATCATACGTTGTCAGCAAGCTGCAGTACACAAGTAGGTATTAAATGTTTGTTTATTTATTTATTTAGAGATGGAGTTTCACTCTTGTTGCCCAGGCTGGAGTGCAATGGCATGATATTGCCTCATTGAAACCCATGGGTTTAAGCAATTCTGCTACTTCGGCCTTTCAAGAAGCTAGGATTATAGGCATAAACTGCTATGCTCAGCTAAATTTTGTATTTTTAGTAGAGATGGGGTTTCACCATGTTGGTCAGGCTGGTATCAAACTCCTGATCTCAGGTGATCCACCCACCTTGGCCTCCCAAAGTGCTAGGGATACAGGCATGAGCCACCTCGCCCAGCCTGTTTATATTATTTAATGTTAAATACCAAGGGAGTGAGTGTTAGATATTTTAACAGTCATCTTTATTTTCTCTGTCTTGATTAATCAATGAATATAGAGAAGTAGGAAAGCGTTTTTTGTTTTTTTTTGTTTTGTTTTTAATTAGAATCAAGAGGTTATGGTTTTAGGGACTACTATTAGGGCTTTTAATGTTAAGTTTAGTTGGAACAGAAAATAGACAGGGATGCTGGAGTTTTTCAGTTTGGGGACAGCAAAATCCAAAATAAAACATAATCCACCATAAAGTAAGTAGTCATAATTAAATATTAGAAGCCGGACGCAGTGGCTCACGCCTGTAATCCCAGCACTTAGGAGGCCGAGGCAGGTGGATCACGAGGTCAAGAAATGAGACCATCCTGGCCAGCATGGTTGGCACATGCCTGTAGTCCCAGCTACTCTGGAGGCTGAGGCAGAAGAATTGCTTGAACCCTGGAGGCTGAGGTTGCAGTGAGCCAAGACTGTGCCACTGTACTCCAGCTTGGGCAACAGAGCGAGACTCCATCTCAAAAAGAAAAACCAAAAAACAAATAATTAAATATTAGATTTTTAAAGGGCCATTAAAGTTTTCTGTTTTTATTCAGTTTTTGTTCATAAACTTTATATTCTCTATAAAAATAAAGAGAATAAAGAGAGTACTTTGTTCTGTATAAAGAGAGTATTTTGTTTTCCAACTTCAGAGTAAATGTCTGTCCTGTTTAGGTATTAACTAAAGACCTTGAAAGGCATGCAGCTGAATTACAAGCCCAGGAAGGACTGTCTAGTGATGGAGAAACAATGGTAAATGTGCCGCATATTCATGCAAGGTGAGGAATTTGATGTATTAAAAGTATTACTTAGAATGAGGCATTGAAGGCCATTTAAGAATGAGAACCCTCATTTTATAAAAACAAGGAAATCAGTAAAAAGGATATGAGTTCTTGCCATCTCATTGATCATCACACTGAAATAAACTCATTGAAAATTATTCAAAGATATCATGACAGGTAATTCCTAAATAAGGAAGAAAATGTTGATTTTCTAACATGCACATTTTTTAAACATTGATTTTGGATGTGAACTTAACAAGATCCTGCCTTGTAAGTTTAATAATCCATGTATGAGTTGAGTATATCTAATCTGAGTAAAATCTGAAATGCTCCAAAATTTAAAACTTTGAGCCATGACATAACACTGACAAGAAATGTTCATTGGAACATTTCAGATTTTTGAATTAGGGATACTCAACTAGTAATGTTGCAAATATTCAACAGTCCATAAAATCCAAAATACTTCTGGTTCCAAGCATTTTCGATAAGGGATATACTCACTGTGTAATACACTAAGTGGTGTGTATTTTGTTAAATTACTAGGTTTCTATTAGATAGAAGGGAATAAATGAAATTATTTAGTTTTTCTTGAATTCATCTTTAAGATTTTAAATTTATTGGAAGAATTCATTATAGGTAATCATCAGGTTTTGTTTTTCTTTTCCAGAATTTATAGAAGACATTTCCTAGCAGTTCTTTAAAAAGAACTTAAAAACTCAAAAGGTTTTTTAATCTGTAGATTTTCCTTTTGGCATTATTTTTTTCCTGAGAACAGCCTATGAGATAAGAAGAAAAAGGAAGATTTAGCATCGTTTCTTTTTAAGAATGGTTTAATTTTTGTGAGATTTCTAATATATCAAATGGATGGTTTGGTTTGGGAATTCCATAGTGGCTCCTAAAAGGACCTTGTGAAAATATAAACAACCTAAACTTCTTGTTCATTACTTCCTGTTTTGTTTTAGAGTGTACAACTATGAGCCTTTGACACAGCTGAAGAATGTCCGAGCAAATTACTATGGCAAATACGTTGCTTTAAGAGGGACAGTGGTTCGTGTCAGTAATATAAAGCCTCTTTGCACCAAGATGGCTTTTCTTTGTGCTGCATGTGGAGAAGTTCAGAGTTTTTCTCTTCCGGATGGAAAATATAGTCTTCCCACAAAGGTAATACTATGTTCTTTAACTGCTTCTTTATCTTGATAAAGAAGGCAAATCAGAATACAGAATACAGGAAACTTTTCCCAATGTTTCTGAACACAGAGCTTATTTTTATTTTTTATTTTCGATGTTCTGCTTTTATATTATAAAATACTTCTGGTTAAAAAAATGTAGAAATAAATAAAACATTCCACTGCTCATCACCCCAAATTTACATTTTTCAACTCCAGACGCATTTTTTAACAATATAAAGCATTACTGGCACAATTAGTGTCTGTGTTTTACCCTTTCCTATAGCATTCCCAGGGATAATCATTTTCCTGAAGTTATAATATGCATCCCGTCCATTCATATTTCTGTTGACTTCTAGGTATACACACCAAGTTTTTTTTTTCCTCTTTATTTCTTCTATTTGGAAGTGATTTTTTAAAAAAATCTTTATTAATCTTTTTTAAACTAGATTTGAAAACTCTAGAGAAATGCAGAGTATAATGTAATTAACACTTACCTACTCTATGATTTGGCAAAATTAACATTTTGTTATTTTAAATTAAATTTGTAACAAAAATATGGTTATGTAGTTAAATTTGAAGTCTCTCTGTTCTCCTCCTCAGTTTTATTCCCTTTATTTACTCCCCAGATACAGCCACTCTTTTGAAATTGGCATGTATTCTTTAAGTTTGCATTTTCATTCTTGACTATATATGTAGAGTTAGTTTTTTGTATTGTGTTTACATAAATAATATACTGAATAATATTATGCAACTTAATATTTAACTTGGTTGTTTTGGAGTTCTACCTATTTTAATACGTATCTAATTCTTTCATTTTTACTATTGTGGAGTGTTCCTTTAAATAAATAGCCACTGTTTACCCATTTTCCTGGAGGTAGACAATGTGCTGTTTGCAGTTTTTTATAATTACAAATGATGCTGCAGAGAACATTCTTGTATATGTCTCCTTAGCAGAGGAATCCTAAATTGTAGGTTGTACTTATTTTTAACTGTATTAGATGCTGCCAAATTACTGTCCAGAGTATTGTTCCCAACTTACGTCCTTTCCATTTCTCCATATTTTCATTAACACTTGGTATTGTTAGACTTTTAAGACTTTTACATTTTTGGCAGTTTGGTAGGTGTAAGTTATATTGCATTTATAATGTGAATTTTTTTGATTTCTGTTGTGACCAAGCATCTTTTTATATCTTTATTGGCCATTCAGGTTCCTTCTTTATTGAATTTTCTATTTATATCTTCTGTTCATTTTCCTGTTTATTCGTTTATTTTTTATTTTTGTTTTTCAGAGATGGGGTCTCATTCTTTTGTCCAGGCTGGAGTGTAGTGGAATGATCATAGCTCGTTGCAGCCTTGAACTCCTAGGCTCAAGTGATCTTCCCATCTCGGCTTCCCAAGTAGTTGGGACTACAGGTGGCAGCCACTGTGCCTGGCCCTGTCAGATTGTTGGTTTCTTTATAGGAGTTATTTATATTCTAGATACTAATTTTTGTTGATTATAAACGTTACAGATATCTTCTCCCAGTCTTGGGTTTGTCCTTTAACTTTGAGGGGTTTTTTGTTGTATAGGTTTACATTTTGACATGATCAAATTGATGTCTTTTCCTCCATAACTTGTACATTTTTTTTTTTTTTTTTTTTTTTTTTTTTTGAGACGGAGTTTCGCTCTTGTTACCCAGGCTGGAGTGCAATGGCGCCATCTCGGCTCACCGCAACCTCCGCCTCCTGGGTTCAGGCAATTCTCCTGCCTCAGCCTCCTGAGTAGCTGGGATTATAGGCACGCGCCACCATGCCCAGCTATTTTTTGTATTTTTAGTAGAGACGGGGTTTCACCATGTTGACCAGGTTGGTCTCGATCTCTCGACCTTGTGATCCCCCCGCCTCGGCCTCCCAAAGTGCTGGGATTACAGGCTTGAGCCACCGCGCCCGGCCAACTTGTACATTTTATGCCCTGCTTAAGAAATCCTCCTTGGGCTGGGTGCAGTGGCTCACGCCTGTAATCCCAGCACTTTGGGAGGCTGAGGTGGGCAGATCACCTGAGGTCGGGAGTTCAAGACCAGCCTGACCAACATGGAGAAACCCTGTCTCTACTGAAAATACAAAATTAGCCAGGTGTGGTGGCACATTCCTGTAATCCCAGCTGCTTGTGAGGCTGAGGCAGGAGAATCACTTGAACCTGAGAGGTGGAGGTTGCAGTGAGATCACGCCATTGTACTTCAGCCTGGGCAACAAGAGCGAAACTCTCTCAAAAAAAGCCCTTTTTCACTTAAGCATTATAAACGTATTTCCTACATTTACTTCTGATACTCCTAAGTTTTGTTTTTTATCTTTAGATCTTTTGTCCATCTGGAATTTATGCCATTGATGAATGGCATAAAACTAGGGATTTAAGCTAGACACAGTGACATGTGCCTGTAGTCCCAGCTACTCAGTAGTCTGAGGCAAGTAGTTTGAGACTAGCCTGGGCAGCATAGTGAGACCCCTACCTCTTAAAAAAACAAACTGGTGATCTAATTTTTAGGCGAAAAGCTATTTGTCCTGACGCCAGTTGATTAATGAAGCCCTCATTACCATGGATGTATAATGCTTCCTCAGTAGTGCCTACAGTCATCTCTATCACCATTGGGCTTTAGTAAATTTAACATTTGCTAAATATTTGCTCATGTAAAGGGTTGAATCCTTAGTGAGCTAAATAATCATTTGAAGAACTAAAAAGGGAAATATAAGATGTTTATGTTTGAAATTTCTGAGGGTATGTGAAATTCAGCTATTGGTTCTGAATAATAAGTGGTGTTGATGGATGGGTTTCATCTACTATTTGTCTTGGCTTAAGGTTCAAGATACAGCCTTTAGCTCAGAGGCCAGAATTTAAATCTTTTTTGTTTTTTTTTTTGAAGACGGGGTCTCACTATGTTGTCCAGTCGAGTGCAGTGGCATGAATACAGCTCACTGCAGCCCTGACCTCCTTAAACCAGATGTTTTCTGGACAGTATTTGTTCAGGGTATTTTCATGCCCCCTAATAAAGTAAGTAGTACCATTGACTCACAAGTGATGTGAAGAGGTCCTCTATGTGTCTGAACTGTAGGGATTTGAAGTGACAGAAAGATGGCTGTTTCAGGTGATATCTGTTCTAGCCGCTGTTGCTGCATAACACATCACCCTAAAATTCAGTGGCCAGAAATAAGCCAATCATTTTATTCGTTCTTATGATTTCTGTGGGTCAGGAGTTTGGAGGAACTATTCACCTGGCTAGTTCTGGCTCCAAGCCTCTCATGGAGTTGTAGTCAGATGGTGGCGGGGGTACAGCAAGGTGGCTGGGGACTGGCCAGCCATTCTTCTCTTTTCCATGTGGTCTCTCTAGGTGAGCTAGTTTGGGCCTCTTGCACGTAGTGTAGCAGCTCAGGAGACTCAGCCTGCTTATGTGGTTGCTGACAGCTTCACGACAAGGAAGTCCAGGTGGTAGGCAGAAATGACCTTGTTTTTTGTGAGCTAGTCTCATAAGTCAGGCAGCATCACTCTGTCACATTCTGTTGGTTGCAAAGTGAGTCACAAGCCTTCTAAAATTCCAGGAGAAGGAATTAGACTCCATTTCTTAATGGAGGAGTAGCAAGGTTCTCAAAAGGCTTGAAGAGAAATATTGTTGCAATCAAAAAAATGTGATTGCAATCATATATTGTTGCAGTCATAAATACAGTCTGCCACAGTCTGAAATTATAAATGCTTCTTGAGATCCAAACACCAGAGTGCCTGTGTGATATGATAAATATTACACTGTACAGAAAGTGCTAAAGGAGCCTACATGAGAAAGCTGAGGATTAAAGAAAACTCTGGAAAGGTTTTTAAAAAGGAGAGGATTAGCATTGGGTATGTGGGACAGAAAGAGAAGGGGCATTGAAGGAGCGGGAGATGGCATGGGCACAGAGGAAGCAGTAAGTGCTTAGTGTGGGAGGCGGGCAAAGCACCTTGCATACCCATAGCCAAGTAAGAGCTGTAAGCGGAAGGATCAGTTGGAAAAGTGCCTCAAAAGCTCTTGATTTTCAATTGTTGCAGGAGGAAATAGAAAGTCATTAATCTCTCAGTGGATTTTACTTTACTAGCATCCTGAGACCAACTTTTAAAACAATATTAAATGAAATGTTATAACTTGAATTTTTCTGAGATGTGATTATAGTTTATCAAGATCTGAATGTGAATTACTTTTGTTTCAGTGTCCGGTGCCTGTATGTCGAGGCAGGTCATTTACTGCTGTCCGCAGCTCTCCTCTCACAGTTACAGTGGATTGGCAGTCAATCAAGTAAGCAATCAGACTTGCATAAAAGGCAGGCTTTAGGTGTCCCACTGTCAAGTAAATCCATAATTTTACTGTATTATACTGTGCGTTTTGTCAAAACAATGACAAGGTATATAATAGTGTATAGTAGGTTTATTTGATGAAGAGTTTGTATGTTGAAATAATTGTCTTTATTTGAAATTTATTCTCTGTCAGATTCCAGAAAGGATTCATTATGCAAATGATAAATAGTTGATTTTATATCTCAATTATGTGATTAATTGAACTGGATATAGGCCATAAGCAAAGCTGTGTGATTCCTTTCATAATGAGCTGTGATAGAAATAATATTGTTTTGAAGTTTTTAGATAAAGAATCCCTTAGAAGTGGCATGTTTCATTTTATGTTCTTACTGTTGCAATGGGGCATTTTACTAAGGTTTTTAAAATAGCTTTCTTTCTTGCAAGTCAGAGTTTTCTTTGTGTATGTATTTTTCATCCCATAATTGATACCATTTTTTCTAGCCATAGACTCGTAGCTCATTCCTAAATATAAAATAATAGATGGTTTTGAAGTCAGTGCTTTCCAGGAAACCTGGGTGAAATAAGATTGTCCTAAAAACTAAGAACCTAGGGAAAAGATGAGATGGTCTGCTACTAACTGCTTTACCCACTTTTTCCCTGAAAATTTAAGACCAACATGTGTAATAATTAACTGTACTATACTGAGATCTTTACAAATATCCTATTTTATGAAAGGGGAAATGTTTAGGGACTCTTGGGTATGATTATGTAGCCCATGAGTATAGTAGAGCCTGATTTCCAGCCCAGTCTGTGGGACTTTTGCCACTTAAGAGGGGACAAAGGGTTAGTCTGGAGGTAATAAGATTTCAGCTATTCATAGTCACTTACAGATCAAACTCCTTGTTCTGTTCTTTCCTCCCTTCTCACTACTCACTTGACTAGTCTTTAAAAAGTGGTATGGGGGCCGTGAATTGATAGTGGAGTGGTGAGTGATCCTGGAGCAAGGTTTGAAGTCATGCAGGTTAGGTGGATGCCAGTGCCTGGCCCATGACCTGAAAAACATTGAGAGGTAATCTAGATGTATGATGAATATATTCCAAAGTTATTATTTTAATGTTCAATGATTGTACTTACATTAATTATTTAAGTAATTAAGTAAAAAAAAAAAAAAAGGTTTTAATGTAATAACATATACTCGTTTTCAAAAATTCAATCAGTGTGGAGGGGCACAGTCCTCACAGCTTGCTGTTACATTATACATAACTTTAGATACCATTCTTGCATGTCTTTCATCCTTTGCTTTACTGCATCCATTCTATGTGAGCTGAGGACATTAGGAACATACTTGTTCTTATATCTTCCACTCCTGGACTTTCTCAGTTCTGGCATTACTTTGGATTGTTAAGGTCCTTCTGTCTTCTAATTATACTTGTCCTCCAGGCTTTATTTATAGGTCATGTCTAACAAAAACAATAAACAGGCATTTACATTTTTATGTTAATAAAAATGCCTGATGTGGCATTCCCTCAGATAAGTAATATGAGCTTCTGACTTCTCCCCCATCTTTTCTACTCCTACTTGTGTCCTTAATAGTAGAAGCCAGTGCTGGAACTGGCTAGACAGTTTATCCCCTTTTAGTAGGTAACCTAGCATATGCAGAAGCCTCTGTGGATCTTACCATCTTTTTGCTCCACTTGGTGGATATCTCTTCCATTTTAGGGGCTATTAACTGTATTACCAGAATTATTAACATAAAATCCCCAGCTGTGTCCCAGTATCAAACACCCCTTTTCGTCTGATAAGTCCTCATTTCAGCAGTCCTTCTATTCCTTTCCCTTCCCATGTTATTAACATAAAGATGTAAGTGAAGTTCAACAAAGAACCAAGTAAAGTGATCAATGCGAGGCAAAGGAGATAGAATGTATGTCACTGGGTTTTGCTGTTTTGTTTTGTTAGTTTTTACTCCTTAAATGAAAATGGCTCAAGCATCAAATTATGTTTTCGTATACTCTGCTAGTTATTTGGAATTATCCCATATTTTAGTGTGCATCATATTTAGACTATAACTTTGTTGTTTAGTACTTCATTTTTCCTAAGGTTTCTAAGTGCTGGTTTTACATCTTAGAATATGCCTGTGCCATTTCACCATAATTTTCCATTCTCTCTTCAATACTATGGAATATATGGAATCCACCTTTATTCTAAGAAAAAACGAAAACAAAAAAAAAAAACACACCTTCCTCCTGCTTGAGTCTGGATCAGTAGTTCTCCAGACCTGCATTCCTGCTTCATCCTGGGATCTTCCTTCATTGCACATTTTGTTTTTCTAAGGAATATTCTCAGGTAAATTTTCAGAAAGCATGCGTGAGACGTAAAAAGTTCTAAGCACTTGCATGTCTGAAAATGTCTTTATTTGGATCTTAGTCTGGCCAAGAGTTTGCCTGGCTTTTGAAGTCGATTTTGTTTTAATTTTCCTTGCCGTTTATGAGAGGTCTGGTGCTGGTCATTCCTTTGAGGACTAGACTTTTCCTCCTCTTTGTAACCATTTTATCTGTGATGCTCTGAAATGGTGAGAGTGTATCTAGTTGTCTCTATCCTGCTTGATGGGCAGGATCTTTTGTCTTCAACTCTAGAATATCTGACTATTTTCTCAGCTTCCTATCAGATGTATCCCTTGGATTATACATTTGTTTTAACTCTTACCTCACCCTTTAATTTTCTTTGTGCTATTTTCTAGATTTGTTTGACTTTTTCTTATATCTTCTCTACAAGTGTTTGATTTTTACATACATGAAATTTTCTTTATTTTATACTTGTTTTCCTATAGTTCCCTTTTTATAGCAGCTTATTCTTGTTTTATGATGGTAATATTTTCTCAAAACTCCTAGGCAGTTTTTTGTTTTTAATGCTCCCTGAATTATTGCCATTTAGTTTTCAAATGTCTGATGAGGAATAAGAAAGTAGTTGAAGTAGGTAGGATAGATTTTCTTTGTAATTTTGTAGGTAGTAGTTTTTTCTCATAAGACTTCACCCCTGAATACAAAGATAGGGGTTTTGGCTATCAGATTTTGCTTTATAAATGTGTTTTTGAATTGGAATTTGGGTTTTCAAAGGCTAGAACAAAGAGTCTTTATTTTGAAGCTCTGATATTCTCACTGCACATTTTAGCTCCCTTCACAGAAGGGAAGGGTTTGTTTTCTTAGAACAGTGCTCTGGTTTTTGCCAGATGATAAAGTACTCAGTCTTCCCTACCCACCTGTCCACCCACCTTCTCCAGAAATTGTGAACAGCTATTCCATGACTTGTCTTTTCTTTTCTTTTTTTTTTTTTTGAGACGGAGATTTGCTCTTGTTACCCAGGCTGGAGTGCAATGGCACGATCTTGGCTCCCCGCAACCTCTGCCTCCTGGGTTCAAGCAATTCTGCTGCCTCAGCCTCCTGAGTAGCTGGGATTACAGGCACGCACCACCACGTCCAGCTAATTTTTTGTATTTTTAGTAGAGACGGGGTTTCACCATGTTGACCAGGATGGTCTTGATCTCTTGACCTCGTGATCCACCCGCCTCAGCCTCCCAAAGTGCTGGGATTACAGGCGTGAGCCACCGCGCCCGGCCCATGACTTGCCTTTCAATTGATTATCCTGTTTTCTTCCAGCCATCCACTCCTGCCTTCCATTCCTGCCACATCCAACTTGGAAGCTTCTCTGAGGTTCTGCTAAGAACACTGGGTCTCACTTTTCTTGTACGTTTATAGGTTTGCCTGTGTGCATTCTGGACTTCATTTTGTTTTATCCATCAATACTTTACTATTTGCTGTTTTCAAAAATTTCATTAATATCTAATTTGCTGATGATACCTCTACATACCACAAAATTTTTAGTGACTAATTTCGGTGGACATTTTGGATGGAGGCTAGGCAAATACATATGCTCATTGTGCCACCTTGAATTGGAAACTGCTGAAGTAATTTTAGATACACCATCAAACTGTTCATAAACAAATCTGCCTTTATCTAGCTCAGTATCATGTGGACCCTGCATAGGTTAATATCTTGCAGAAACCATCTAAAGTAAGTATTCTAACTGAAAACTATTTTAACTTTTTAGAATCCAGGAGTTGATGTCTGATGATCAGAGGGAAGCAGGTCGGATTCCACGAACAATAGAATGTGAGCTTGTTCATGATCTTGTGGATAGCTGTGTCCCGGGAGACACAGTGACTGTTACTGGAATTGTCAAAGTCTCAAATGCTGAAGAAGGTATGGTACAACTCTTCATTATTTGTCTCTCAATAGTGATTTGTCAATATTCATCTTTTCTAAGATGCTCCTGAATCTCAAATAATTTGAGGATTTCTTGTTGCTTACATAAGGTGAAATGTCCCCTTTAAAGAAACATTTATTTATATAGCTCACTATGACTTTGTTTTATATTGTAGTTGAGTCATTGTAGGGAAAATGAAAATACCAACTATCATATTTAATACTTTGAATTTACAGGTTGTCGAAATAAGAATGACAAGTGCATGTTCCTTTTGTACATTGAAGCAAATTCTATTAGTAATAGCAAAGGACAGAAAACAAAGACTTCTGAGGATGGGTGTAAGCATGGAATGTTGATGGAGTTCTCACTCAAAGATCTTTATGCCATCCAAGAGATTCAAGCTGAAGAGAACCTGTTTAAACTCATTGTCAAGTATGGATGCAGTTATTTGAAATTTTATTACATAGATGCACGTTGGGGGTTCTCTTGGCTACAGGTAACAAAAAGCTAGTCAAAATGGTCAGCAAACTACAGTCCATGTACCAAAATCCAGCACACCATCCACTTGAGTATGGCCCATGAACTAAGAATAAGAATGATTTATATATTTTTTAATGGTTGAAAAAAATTAAAAGAATATTTCACAACACATGAACTTACATGAAATTCAGATTTCAGTGTTCATAAAATAAAGTTGTATTGGGACAAAGCCACACTCATTCATTTACATAGTGTGCTGCTTTTGTGCTACAGTGGCAGAGTTGAATAGTTGTCACAGAGACTGTATATATGGATCACATATTTTTGCTCTGTCCTTTTATAGAAAAAATTTGCTGATCTCTAGTTTAAACAATAAGGAATATTTAATCTTACACAGGAAGTTTGTTGCTTAACAGAAGAGGGAGGGAACAGTGAATTCCAAAGCCATTTCAGTTAGTTGTATGTAGGGTGGTGTTCATAGAGATTCAAATAGAAATCACTTATATTCAATAAGTATTTGATAGTTTTATTTCCATGTTATTGCCATGCCATGGAGAGGAAGCGAAGTATGGGCATTTTTTTGCTTTAGTAGTTAAGAGCTTTTCTTTGGAGACAAACCTAAGTTAGGCTCCTGCTTTGGGCATTTACTTCCAGTGTGACCTGGAACAGGTGACTTAATTTTCCCTTTATTTGTATCACCTTAAAATGGAAATAGTAAGACCTACCTCAGAAGGTTGTTTTAAAGATTAAGTTGAATTTTATGATGTACTTGCCATAATTACAGCAACATAGTGTTGTTACTTTTGATAATTTTTTGATAATTTTGGGGAGAATTTTGAAGAAATAGGAGAAAAGGAGAGAGACTGAATAATAGATATGTCTAAGAGAGGTAAAGAACTGAGAACATTTTAATTAGCTAGGCGTTGTGGTGCATGTCTGTCAAGGAAAATTGCTTGAACCTGGGAGGTGTAGGTTGCAGTGAGCCGAGGTACGCCATTGCACTCCAACCCAGGCGGCAGAGTGAGACTCCATCTGGGGGAAAAAAAAAAGTGATCTTGGCTGGGCACGTTGGCTCACACCTGTAATCCCAACACTTTGGGAGGCCTAGGCAGGTGGACCACCTGAGATCAGGAGTTCAAGACCAACCTGACCAATATGGCGAAACCCCGTCTTTACTAAAAATACAAAAATTAGCCACGTGTGGTGGTGGGTGCCTGTAATCCTAGCTTCTCAGGAGGCTGAGACAGGACAATCTCTTAAACCTGGGAGATGGAGGTTGCAGTGAGCCGTGATCACGCCACTGCACTCCAGCCTGGGCAACAGAGCAAGACTGTCTCACACACACACAAAAAGGTATCTTATCTTCTCTGCTATTCATTATGCTCACGTTTATAAGAGGATTTGATGCTTTTTCTTTCTTATTTTAATATGTTGATTAGCTGACTGAGTAAAGAATAGTGCTCCGCAGGGGTTTTTTGTCCTTAAATTCTCAGAGACTTCCCTCTGAATAAATAGCTACCAGACCCACCCTGGAGGAGAGGCTGCTCTAACCTAGGGTTGGGGGCTGGTCTGGGAGTGAGTCCTTTGAGCAGGTGGCCAAGGAAGCAGCCTGGTTGAGAATTCAAACATGTCTTTGGTTCCTCTTAATGGTTAGAAATTAAAACTGAACATTTTTAGTGGTCCCTCTTCTCCCATACTTATAGAAGAGTAAGTATGGAAAACTTTAGTTTTCTTCCCACAGTTTGTTTTTTTCTCCCCATGTTCGTGATTTCCGCACCGAAACTAGAATTTTTCATAGTCCTTCATCATCAGCCTAGCAGAGATTGGCAAACTAGGCAGCAGAGATTGGCAAACTACGCAGGCTGCCTGTTTTTGTAAGTAAAGTTTTATTAAAACACAGTCCCACCCATTTTACTTATGTTACTGATCATAGTTGCTTGCACACTACAAGTTGAGTAGTTGTGACTGAGACAATATAGCCTGCAAAGCTGAAAATACTTTCTGGCCCTTTAAGGAAAAGTTTTTCAACCCCTCCTAGGTGACAGTGGAAGTTTAAGTTTTAGTTTAGTTTCCTTCAGAAGCAGTGACTTGGGTCAACATAGTTTACTTGGGAGGTGATTCTGGAGTTACTGGTAGGGAAAAGGAGAAGTGATGGCAGCCAGTGTATGGTGCCTTAATGAACAGGCGACCCACTAGCATCTGGGACATCATCTTCCTGGGCCAGTGGAACACTCCACTGTGTAAAGCTAGCCTCAGTATTTTTCCATTTAAGGGCCTGCATTTCGGTCTGCCCCCAAGAGTGTTAAACAACTCAGCACTTCTGGCCTGCCTATCCTGCCTGCTCATGATGCCTGTGTGGCCATAGAAAGGTCTTTGGCAGACAGGTGCAGATGCCAATAGGAAGCTGGCAGTGATTATGAAGGAGTATACTGAACAGTAAGTGGCAAGGGGATACGTGACACCACCTCCTTCTATGTTGACATATATTAAAAGGGAATAAGGACTCACATTTTACTCCTGATTGTCTCTCCCACCCTATTTTTGTTTTGTTTCTTGTTTATAGAATTGACAAATGTAAATGTACTTCTTTATACTCTTTTTCTTTTTTTTTTGGAGACAGGGTCTTGCTGTGTTGCCCAGGTTGGATTGCAGTGGCACAATCATAGCTTACTGCAGCTTCAAACTCCTGGCCTCAAGTTATTCTCCCACCTCAACCTAATAAGTAGCTGGGACTAAAGGCATGTGCCACTACATCTGGCTAATTAAAAAAATTTTTTTGTAGATACCTGGGTCTCACTTTGTTGCACAGGCTAGTTTTGAACTTTTGGGCTGAAGCGATCCTCCCACTTCAGCCCCCCAGAGTGCTTGCAGGGATTACAGGCATGAACCTGTAAATGAAAAATAAAATTCCAAGGCCCCCCAGCCATCTGAATGGACTTCCTCCTCAGCCAGGGCTCTTAAAATTTAATCTGAAAGACTGATTCAGGCCATGAAGGGAAGTGGGGGGTCAGACATGCCTTATACCTCTCTAGCATTTATGTCAACACAACAGTCTGATAAGAAACATTTTACAGCCTGTTCTCTCTGAAGGCTGCTAGCTAAATGCTTCATCTGCATGATAAAACTTTGGTCTCCACAACCTCTTATGCAACCCAAATATTCCTTTCTACTGATCTCAGGTCTTTTCAACCAATTGTCAACCAGAAAATGTTTAAATTTTCCTGTAGCCTGGAAGCCTATGCTTTGAGTTATCCCACCTTTCTGGTTCTACAAAACACTGTACTCGGCCTCATTTATTTAATTAGATCCTTTGACTTGAATTTACCTGTAGCCTGGAAGCCCATGCTTTGAGTTATCCCACCTTTCTGGTTCTACAAAACACTGTACCCGCCCTCATTTATTTAATTTGTTCCTTTGACTTGAACTGAAAAAAAAAAATGATATTTTATTCCATCTTACAGTATTATATACTAAGTTCACTCCTTAGTCTCCTTTCAATGACTTGGCTGCACAGGTCTAAAGATGTCTATTCACATAAAATACAGTATGATCCTGTATTCTACAGTGGAAGAGCATGATTGTGATGCATTTTAAGGCTAGATCTGTAAGAGCAACATTATATTTGGTTACTTTAAGATGCTTTGCAAGTATCCTCTTTTCCTTATGCAGGCAGTTTTTAAAACATTCTAACCTTTATAGATTAACCAAGAATTTTGAGAAATTTACTGTAGGAATAAAATTTGAGTTGAGGGGATGTAAATTTTTTACATTTGTCTTTTGATATTAAATAAAGCAAGTTAAACAAACGGTAAAGAGATCTCCTAATGGGTCGGTGAAGTATAAATTAGAATTTATAAGTTGTGTTCTGTTTTTCAGCTCGCTTTGCCCTGTCATTTTTGGTCATGAAGTAAGTATTTTACTTAATCTTTACTTAAAAAGTATATAAAGTTAGCAAAAATAGCATATAAAGACTTTCCAGAAAGTAGCAAATTTCTGTTGGCCGTTTATATTATACTACGAATTTTTATTCATAAATGAATGATACGGAGACAAGCAAACTACAGCTCCTCTTATTTATTTATCTATTTATTAAAGACAGGGTCTTGCTCTGTCACCCAGGCTAGAGTGTGATGGCTCAGTCATGGCTTACTGCAGCCTTGAGCTATGGGGCTCAGGTCATCCTCCTGACCTCAGCCTCCTGAGTAGCTGGGACTACAGGCATGCACCACCATGCACAGCTAATTTTTTTGTAGAGATGGGGTTTCGCTGTGTTGCCCAGGCTGGTCTCTAAGTCCTGGTCTCAAGTGATCCACCCACTTTAGCCTCCAAAGTGTTGGGACTATACGTGTCAGCCATATAGCTCCTTTTAAGAAAAAGCTCTGGCTGGGCGCGGTGGCTCAAGCCTGTAATCCCAGCACTTTGGGAGGCTGAGGCGGGTGGATCACGAGGTCAAGAGATCGAGACCATTCTGGTCAACTTGGTGAAACCCCGTCTCTACTAAAATTACCAAAAAAAAAAAAAATTAGCTGGCCATGGTGGCGCGTGCCTGTAATCCCAGCTACTCAGGAGGCTGAGGCAGGAGAATTGCCTGAACCCAGGAGGCAGAGGTTGCGGTGAGCCAAGATCGCGCCATTGCACTCCAGCCTGGGTAACAAGAGCGAAACTCCGTCTCAAAAAAAAAAAAAAAGAAAAAGCTCTTACCAATTAGAGTAAGTAGAAATGGGCTTTTATTTTATTTATTTTGAAACAGAGTCTTGCTCTGTCACCCAGGCTGGAGTGCAGTGGTGTGATCTTGGCTCACTGCAACCTCTGCCTCCCAAGTTCAAACAATTTTCCTACCTCAGCCTGCTGAGTAGCTGGGACTACAGGCATGCGCCACCACAACCCAGCTAATTTTGGTAAGAAATGGGCTTTTAAAATGACTAGACACTGCCAGTATTAAAGCAGAAACGAATGTTTCTCCTTTTTGTGGAATGGATTGATGTTTTGCAAGGTAGGTCTTGGTAATTTCTAAGATACCTCTCTGATGTGATATCTTTTCGAGTTTTTACTTTTCAATCATTTACATCATAGAAGTTTGTTTTTAGACTTCCTTTTCTTAGAAAAAAGAATTAACATTCAATCATCCTTTTAAAACAATCCCCAAACAAATCAATGTCATAGAAGGGGGACCCCTTTGCTAGTCATCTTTATGTTTTCCTTACTTCTGTTTTTTGTTCTTTTTCGCACTTGAGCTTGTTAAAGCAGGTTTGGCATTAGCACTCTTTGGAGGAAGCCAGAAATATGCAGATGACAAAAACAGAATTCCAATTCGAGGAGACCCACACATCCTTGTTGTTGGAGATCCAGGCTTAGGAAAAAGTCAGATGCTCCAGGTAGAAAATCAGTCATTTAATGTTTGGTCTTTTGCTTGCAAAATGCATGAATAATTCACAAGTGAATTTTCTCAAAGCATATAGCATGTGTGTTCCAGAGGACATGGTTAGGTGGTGTAAGTGAATTGGAGTTTGTGTGAGTAATATGTAATTTATATCTGGCTGTATTTTTAAATTGAGCCAGTTTCCCGTTACACAGGCTGTACAGTCATCCTGGTCTGTTGAGACATCAGCTGTTAGGAAGTATTAACCATTTCTCTAACCCCATAGTAGAGATGGGGTTTTGCTATGTTGCCCAGGTTGGTATTGAACTCCTGGGCTCAAGCAGATCTGCCTGCCTCAGCCTCCCAAAATGCTGGGATTATAGGTGTGAGCCACTGCGCTCAGCCAGTGTGCTTTCTAAAAATGCCTACGACCTCCTTCTGTCCCACTCAATGTGGAAAACTGACCAGGGCTTCCCTGGCCCTTTGGTAAGTTGTAGTAGTGTGACTCCTGAATCTTTTTCCAAGGATTGAGACCCTGGCTGCACATCATAATTACTTTTGAAGCTCTTTGAAAATACCATGGCCTACAACAGGCCAATTGAGTTAAGAGTTTTCATGTTAGGGTCTTAGTGTCTGTATGTATACAACAGTCCACAGATGATTCTAATACGCAGCCAGGCTTGACAACTGCTTTGATCTTGTAAACCCACTGTCCTTCGTATCAGAGTCATCCTTTTTCGCCTGTGGTTGAGTGTTAAACCAGTCATCATTTTCATTTCTTCTATGCCGTTTCATATATATTTGGTTCCTTTTGGCCAGCTGAGGCTACTTTTTAAAAAATAAATTCTGCTCTGAGACCTCACTACAAGCCTGATGACTGAGGTGCAGGATACCCCTTATAGGTGAAAAAAAAACAAGCCTCATAATGAACAGGAATCTGGGCACAGTGGCTCACACCTATAATCCTAATACTTTGGGGGGCCGAGGCAGAAGGATTACTTGAGGCCAGGAGTTCAAGACCAGCCTGGGCAACAAAGTGAGACCACCACCCCCCTAGTCCCTACAAAAAAATAAGATGATTAGCTGGGCATGGTGGCACACACTTGTAGTCCCCGCTACTCAGGAGGCTGCAGCAGGAGGACTGCTTGAACCTAGGAGTTGGAGAATGCCAGGAGCCATGGTTGTGCAACTGCACGCAGCCTGGGCAATAGGTCAAGATCTTGTCTTAAAAAAAAAAAGAAAAGAAAACAGTATATTTAGAATATGTAGGAAAACGTACAGGTGGGGATCTGAATTGTTACAGCTTTTTTTCCTGCCTTTTATGGTGTTGTACATGTGCATGTGTGTGTAACTTTGGAATTAGTGAATTATAGGTCGGAGCCTGCTTTAACCCCTAGAGTGTCTTTATTATCTGTACAAATCTCATAATTTATACATATTGCTGTAGTATATAAAACTGCCATTTTTTTGCTCTTTTTTTTTTTTCAAGAAATGTTTCTTGGCAGATAGTTGTTCTAAAATATATCTAGTGGTATTGAAAGTTTTAATACCAAGAAGTTACATTGGCAGTTTTTCTTGTTTTTCAGACCTGGAATAATGCCTTCAAAACCCTTGGCTCAGTTTAAAAATAGAATCTGTAATATATTAATGGAAATTAAACATTGTGAATAGTATAGAGTATGACATGTAAGCCACACTAAGCCAGGGTTTTTAAAAACTAGACTAATAGGCTGGGTGCAGTGGCTCATGCCTGTTATCATAACACTTTGGGAGACCAAGGCAGGAGGACCCAGCTGGGCAATATAGTGAGATCCTGTCTCTAAAAACAATTTTTAAAAAATTAGGTGTGGTGGCATGTGCCTGTAGTCCCAGCTACTCAGGAGGCTGAAGTTTAGACCAGCCTGGGCAACATAGTGAGACCTTATTTCTACAAAAAATAAATGAGCCAGGCATAGTGGCATGCTCCTGTAGTCCCAGCTACTAGAGAGCCAAGGTGAGAGGATCACTTGAGCCCAGGAGTTCAAGGTGGCTATGAGCTATGATTGTGCCACTGCACTCCAGCCTGGATGACAAAGTGAGACCCTCTCAAAAATAATAAATATAACAAAATAAAAATTAAGCTAAAACCAACAGTTATGAACCACTTACTTTATATTTTTAATTATCTTTTTTTCTGACTACTTAGTAAACCATCATACTCTGTGTTATAAGATTTCTTATAAAGACTAACAAAGTGTGTAAGGAACAAAAATAATGATAATTACTACTTATTGAGCCAGCACCATAGGATAGCAGTGGGTGTTTGAGATATGAGTACTGTCCCTTGGAATTGGGCAGTGCATTGCCGTACATAGCAGTTTTACATTGGGCACTTATTTTGTGCCAGGTACCAAACTAAGTGCCTTGCATACATGATTTCACTTATTCTTCAGGGCAGTTCTGTGATAAAACATAAGGAAGCTGAGGCTCAGAGAGGTCTGAGAGCCACACAGCTGGTGCATGATTTAAACAGGTCTGCCTGACTCCAGAGAGCTATGCTTTTTTTTTTTTTCCCCCCCTGAGACAGAGTCTCACTCTGTTGCCCAGGCTGGAGTGCAGTGGTGCGATGTTGGCTACTTTTAACTCTCGTGATATTTACTTTCCTTGCCTGCTATAGCTTGTCTGCTCAGAAGGTGAGCATGTATTAAGCCGTTTTGTTACCTAATGTTTAAAGAAGCATTGGAACCTTCAAAATTAAAATTGGTACTTGTGTTTTTGCTTTTTGAACTTGAAAATGAAGCATAAATTCGAATTGTGTTGAGTATTAATATGACCACAGACTTCAGAATCAGACTACCTGGGTTTGATTGAATCCTGACTTTCTACCTTCATAGCTGTATGGTTCCTCATTCACTCTTTGTTGGCCTTGGATTTAACATCAGTAAATCAGGATATAATGATACCTTCCTCTGATGGTGATGGTGCACCTTGTACTGTAAAGCTCTTAAAAGGAGGCTGAGGCGGGTGGATCACAAGGTCAGGAGTTCAAGACCAGCCTGACCAATATGGTGAAATTCCATCTCTACTAAAAATACAAAAATTAGCCGGATGTGGTGGTAGGCGCCTGTAGTCCCAGCTACTTGGGAGGCTGAAGCAGGAGAATTGCTTAAACCCGGGAGGCAGAGGTTGCAGTGAGTGGAGATCGTGCCACTGCACTCCAGCCTGGGCGACAGTGAGACTCTGTTTCAAAAAAAAAAAAGAATATACTTAACGTTTGTGAGCAATTGCGGTTAGCTATTACTTCCCTTTCATTTTGGATGATACTCTTAAACTTTTTGTTTCCTTAGGCAGTGTGCAATGTTGCTCCACGTGGCGTGTATGTTTGTGGTAACACCACAACCACCTCTGGTCTGACGGTAACTCTTTCAAAAGATAGTTCCTCTGGAGATTTTGCTTTGGAAGCTGGTGCCCTGGTACTTGGTGATCAAGGTGAGAAGCCAAAAGGAATAATTAGTGATTCTGGGGCTTTTTAAAAAGCCTTTCGTTTTTAGTTAATTTCTTTACATTCTGTTTAATAGACATTTAGATAGCACGGTCCTAACCAGTGACTTGACACTGTCAGAAATAGTCATTGGAAATACAGTATCATCGATTTTATACTACAGAATTGAAACTGTACTTAATGTCATTCATTTTCAGAATCTTCAGTTACAAGTATATGTAAAAATCAAATAAATATGTGTAGCTCCCTAAACTTCCCACTTCATACCACCCATCACATTTGTGATCATTTTTAAAGCCTGTTTTGAAGCTTTATAGTAAGCTCCCTGGAGGATGAGATTTGGATGTCTTATGGACTGCCATGTTCCCATTGCCTATTACATAGGCATACAGTAAATACCTGTTGAATGTATTATATTATTTAGTTTAGAATAGTTTAGAAACCTTGGTACTGACAAAAAGGTGGATGTCATCCTTTGCTCACAGAAGACTTGCAATAAGAGATTAGAGCTGTTACTTTAGGTGTTTTTTTCTTTTTATGAGACAGAGTCTCGCTCTGTCACCTAGGCTAGAGAGCAGTGGTATAACCTCAGCTCGCTGCAACCTCTGCCTCCCAAGCTCAAGCCATTCTCGTGCCTCAGCCTCCTGAGTAGCTAGGATCACAGATGTGCGTGACCACATCCAGCTAATCTTTGTATTTTTAGTAGAGATGGAATTTCACCAAAGTGCTGGGATTACAGACTACAGGTGTGAACCACTGCACCTGGCCTACTTCAGAATGAATAGTTTTGCCATATTGTAACCTAACTCGTTTTTTTCAGGATTTGAGTGATAGGTGATAAGAAATCCAGGCATGGGCTCAGCAAGAAGAAACTTACATTGGGCTTTGCCACCTGTTTCTCTTTGTGATGCCTTAACCTTATTGAAAAAAACATGTTCCCATGCATGTGTCAGGCAGTGCCCAGATTCTAGTCCAGTTAAGGTCATTCATTCTTTCTGATTTGCCAGTGACTTCCACATTTCTGAACCTTGTACCTGGTAGCCACATTTGACACAGTTAATCACTCCCTCTTCTTTGAGATCCTTGAAACTCTCCTTGGTTTCCAGGCCACTTTACTTCATTCTTTACTTTTTTCTCAGTCTTTACTGGTTCTTTGTCTTTATAACCTCTTACCTGTTGTTAACTAAGGTGCTTACTTCTTGGACCTTTTGTCTTCTTGGTCTGTATTTACTTTCTTGGTGATCTTATATCATTTCATAGCTTTACCTACCTATCTGTGAAAAATTCTAAATTTATTATCTCCTTTCCTTTAAACATCAGGCACATACTTCTTACTGTCCACGTAGTATCTCCACAAATTTTTCAAACTTAACATGTCTAAAATTAAAATCCTGATTTTGCCTTTCAAATCTATTTTCAGTCTTCCTCATCTCAGTAAATGACAACTCTCTCATTCTAATTGCTCAAATCAGAAAACATGGAGCCATCTTTGACTTTTTCTCATGGCCCACATTAATCTATCAGCAAATGTTGTTGACTCTACCGTCAAAACATATCCAGTATCTATCTAACCACTTCTTCACTACCCTGGTCCATGGCACCATCCTGTCTCACATGGATTATTACTGTAATCGTCCAATTGGGATGCCTATAACTACCCTTGCCCCTTCCTGTTACTTTTAATACAGTAGCATAATCTCATTAAAATTAGATTATGTTATTCTTTTGCTCAAAACCCTCTAGTAACTGCCCATCTCGCTCAGAGTGAAAGCCAAAGCCTTGAGAGTGGCCCAGGGCCATTCATGTTCCGGCCTTTCACCTGTCCTCCTTATCTGCTGCTTTCCTTGTTTCCTCTTCTCTAGGTCCACTGGGGGCCCTACCTTGGACACTACCAGTACACCAGGCAGGTCACATTTCCTCATAAGGGCCTTTGTACTTGCTGTTTCGTTTGCCTGGAGTGTTGTTACCCCAGATAGAGCTGCTAAGGCTTGTTTTCTTTCCCCCTTCATGTTTTACTCAAATGTCCTGACCCTAGTTAGGCCTTCCATAAATACTATATTTTAACTCATAACCTCCCCTGCCCCTGCTGTCACCTTAGCAGACCTTACTCTCCTTACCCTACTCTACGTTTTCCTTCCAGAGCACTTTTCACCTATGTGGTTTACTTTTTATTGCCTACCCTGCATTGGCTGAGTAGAACGTAAGCTTCACAAAAGCAGGGAATTTTGTCTTTTCACTGCCATACCCAGCATGCCTAGAACATAGTACTGGTATATAAAGGGCATGCAGTTTACTGAATTTATAAATTTATTGCATTTATATCCAGTAAGTTTTTGCTAAAAAAAAAAAAAAATACATAAAACATGTATCTGGTTATTGTATAGCTCATCAGAAGTAAGACTCTCTTTGCTAAGTTGCCAGGTGAAGAAAATATAGTAATAAAAAGGTAATAATTATTAAACCATGAAACTTTTCATTAACTAGAAGTAGAAGGTGATTTGGAGGGTTTTTTAAAATTCTTAATGCCAGCGCTTTGGGAGGCTGAGGTGGATGGAGCACTTGACACCAGGAATTTGAGGCCAGCCTGGCCAACATTGCAAAACTCTGTCTCTACTACAAATACAAAAATTAGCTGGGTGAGGTGGCGCATGCCTGTAATCCCTGCTGCTCAGGTGGCTGAGGCACAAGAGTCACTTGAACCAAGGGAGGTGGAGGTTGCAGTAAAACATGATGGCACCACTGTACTCCAGCCTGGACCACAGAGTGAAATTCTGTCTCAAAAAAAAAGCTCAAAGTTTATGTTTCATGCTTTAAAACAAGGGGTCAGTAAACCTTGGTCCATAGGTCAAACCAGCCTGTTTTAGTATAGTCCACAAGCTAAAACTGGCTTTTATGTTTTTAAAAGATTGTAAAGTACAAACAAACAGAAAAGCCTAAGAATATTTAAGATTGTGCATGGCGTGTGAAACTTAAAATATGTACTTCTGCCCTTTGCAGAAAAGGTTTCCCAGCTTCTGCTTTACACTTTGAAAAGTGACAGCCAACATAGGAAGTAGCTTGACTTTCTTCCTACCCCATCCCCATCTCTGAGGAACTGTACTAGTAGTCTTGAGAATTTCCGATAATACCATGAATCCAGAGAGGTATAGGCAGACAGAGCAATAGGCAGCTCAGGGAAAAGTGGTGATAAAGCCTGTGAGTGTACCACTGCTAGGATATTAGCAGAGGCGGGGAAGGCTCACCACGTCCTAGAGCTCCACATTGAACAGCGGGAATAATGCACTGGGATCCCCTGGCATGAATATGGGACACATTCCCAACAGAGGGGTGTGAACCCTCTCAGAAAAGACATCAGCAAGAAAGGTGGCACACAGTTCAACAAAGCTCCCCTTACCTCCCCCTCCCAAATCATTAGGTTACCAAAAAGTACAAACTGTAGCTCAAAAGGAAAAAATGGGTCAAAATTACAAAAGAGTATTGACAGGAATTCATGTATACCATGTTGGAAAAAATAGGTTTGCACAGAGCAGCCATTATTATACATGAGCAAGGTAAAGAGACAGTATGGCAGCTATGAAGAAATATTCTTACATACACTTAATATGCCCAATAAAAGACCTCACTCTAGACAAAATGATAATCTAAGGAACAAATGAAAACTTCCCATGAGTGTTTCATGTTTGATAAGAACATGAATTTAATGAAAGCTCAAAACAAGAGGAGATGATAAGGATATGAGAGACAAATTGACAACTAACAATGTTATTAAACTAATATATAAAACTGACACAGCTGAATGAAAAATTATAAATACAGGAAAGCCTTGAGATAAAGTGAATGGAAAAGAACAAAGCTTAGTACAATTAGAGGGGAAGTAACAGAGATAGAGAACAAAGGAAATTCAACATAATTGGTTCCATGAAGTAGGAAACCCAAACATGAAACCAGAAGTGGATTCAAGGATAGAAGAAAATGTGTTGAAATAAACTAAACGCATTGTATGTACCAGGAATGTCATGTCTGTTGCACAAGTTATTGGGGGCTCTAACATTACCTTGTAATATTTGTCTTTCCTGCTCCCCATACCAGTTAGGTTAGCAGCTGGGTTTCAAAAAGACTAAGCAGTTTTTTTTCACATACTCCTCTGTGCTAGCAAGGCTTAACTAGGGTATAGAGTAGATATGGAGGGGTTTAACTACAGCAAAGCCCTTCAGAGGTAACCCCCGGCTACTAACCTAACTAGTATGGGGAGCAGGGAAGACAAATACTACAAGGTAATGTTAGAGAGTCTCCAATAACTTATGCAATAGACAGGACATTCCTGGTACATACAGTGCCTCTAGTTAGTGGTGGTGCATTGTATATGTTTAAAGAGGTTACGTGATTTCCCTATATGTGTATACAAGTGTATAGTCAGTACATGGTATAGGTTTTGAAATATACTTCTTAAATGTGTGTGTATAAAATCTCACCTGTTTAAATTTAAGTCCTTAAGCATTTTGAGGGTTACTCTTATCTCTTCATTTTCGTAATCCTCACAGCATAGTGCCTTGCCTATGAAAAATGCTAAAGGAATAAGTATTACACAAAACTTAGTTAAATAAGACAAGTGTGTTACTTGCTGCGAAACAAACAGTAATTCTCCATTGTATGACATTTTATAATGTTAACTGCTGAAACAAATGGAAATAATTATTGTGAAACATTTTCTATCCTATAAAATTTGGAACTCAACCACAGAAAAAAATTTGTCTGCATTATTCTACTTTGATTGTAGGTATTTGTGGAATAGATGAATTTGATAAGATGGGGAATCAACATCAAGCCTTGTTGGAAGCCATGGAGCAGCAAAGTATTAGTCTTGCTAAGGCTGGGGTGGTTTGTAGCCTTCCTGCAAGAACTTCCATTATTGCGGCTGCAAATCCAGTAGGAGGACACTACAATAAAGCCAAAACAGTTTCTGAGAATTTAAAGTAAGTCTGTTCAAATATACCTTTAAGATTGAATCACTCTAATCAGTAAGAAAAAGAAATAAATAGCTCTCAGAACTACATGGGAAATATATGGCTAGTTCACAGAAGTTACATGTGTCCAATAAATGCACAAAAAATGTGCTTAAACACTCCAAAGTAAAACAGTGAAGTACCATTGATATTCACCAGATTGGCAGACATTTTAAATACTAACGTTATTTGCAAAGTAGTGTGGAAATGGTTTCTCACTGACTGGGTGTGGTGGCCCACGCCTGTAATCCCAGCACTTTGGGAAGCCAAGGCAAGTAGATCACCTGAGGTCAGGAGTTTGAGACCAGCCTGGCCAACATGGCAAAACCCCATCTCTAGTAAACATATAAAAATTAGCTGGGCCTGATGGCAGCTGCCTGTAATCCCAGCTACTTGGGAGGCTGAGGTAGGAGAATTGCTTAAACCTGGGAGATGGTGCCGGGCGCAGTGGCTCGAGCCTGTAATCCCAGCACTTTGGGAGGCCGAGGTGGGTGGATCACGAGGTCAAGAGATCAAGACCATCCTGGTCAACATGGTGAAACCCCGTCTCTACTAAAAAAAAAAAAAAATTAGCTGAGCATGGTGGCACGTGCCTGTAATCCTAGCTACTCAGGAGGCTGAGGCAGGAGAATTGCCTGAACCCTGGAGGCGAAGGTTGCGGTGAGCCGAGATCGCGCCATTGCACTCCAGCCTGGGTAAAAAGAGCGAAACTCCGTCTCAAAAAAAAAAAAAAAAACCTGGGAGATGGTGATTTCAGTGAGGAAAGATTGTGCCACCACACTCTGGCTTGGGTGACAGAGTGAGACTCCATCTCAAAAAACAAAAAAAATTGTTTCTCAGATACACAATTTAGTATTTTGAAGGATACCTTGGTGTGTTAATCATGATTGTAAATGCACATTCTGTTTGTTACAGCTCCTCTACTTTTAGGACTACTGTTCAAAGAGATAGGCACATAGGTGTACAATGATAGGTTTAGGTTTATAGCATGGGTATTGTAGCATTATCGCTGCCAAAAGTTGGAAACACCTTAAAACTAGGTAACACTGTACAGTGGAAAGTAGTGATTATGAGAACAAAAGTAGCTTTGTATGTACTAATATGGGAACATGGCTGTGCTTTACTGTTAAATGAGAAGAGCACATTAACTTAAATATGTGGTATGGTCCCGCTTTTTTTATTTGTATTTATATGTATGCTTTCTCTTCTAATTCATTCTGTATAGGTTGGACAAAATGTTTGGAAAAGGAAAAATGTATGTAAGTGATAGAAAAGTGAGAGACAAAAGAGTGCCTCCTGAAAAATTAGAGACTTTAGTGAGGGTGGAGCTAATTTTTTATTGTTTTTAATAATGTATCAAAATAGAAGTAGTCTTTGATACATAGTGAAATACACAATTTATACTTGGAAATTTAGGGTATTTCTCTACCACCACCACAAAAAGTCAACTTACTAGTAGTTGTTCTCTAGTAAAATGACAAAGTGCTATATTAGAAAAATCAGAAAGATCTACTAAACAAAAATCCAGGGGACTTGGATTCTGTTTTTAATGGTATCATGAACAAACTACTGAACTAGCTAACCTCTGATATGTCATGTAGCAGTATTGCCAATTAGTGATAATAGGACATGAAGAAGAAGTCAGTGGGTTTGGTGGTGTGAGAAAGGGCCATGTCCTCAACCTACCCAGGTTAGGTACATGTAATTCTTGTGCCCATGGTGCAGTGGGTGAATATATCAAATCCAAAAAGCTATTTGCTTATTTCTTTAACTTAAATCTTGTTTTTTCAAGTTCTACATGGAACTTGAGTAGTAAACAAGTGAGTAAACAGTTTTCTAGTTTTTCTTTTTTATTCCAATCATTGTTTCTTCTTTCTTTCATGCTTTGTAGAATGGGGAGTGCACTCCTATCCAGATTTGATTTGGTCTTTATCCTGTTAGATACTCCAAATGAGCATCATGATCACTTACTCTCTGAACATGTGATTGCAATAAGAGCTGGAAAGCAGAGAACCGTTAGCAGTGCCACAGTAGCTCGTATGAGTAGTCAAGATTCAAATACTTCTGTACTTGAAGTAGTTTCTGAGAAACCATTATCAGAAAGACTAAAGGTATAAACATTTCTTCTCCTTAATCATTCAGTTTGGTTCTGTTTGAATGTCAGAGTATAGAGTACTTATTGTAGAGCCATAGGATATAAACTTTTTTTTTTTTTTTTTTTTTTTTTTTTTTTTTTTTGAGACGGAGTTTTGCTCTTGTTACCCAGGCTGGAGTGCAATGGCGCGATCTCGGCTCACCGCAACCTCCGCCTCCTGGGTTCAGGCAATTCTCCTGCCTCAGCCTCCTGAGTAGCTGGGATTATAGGCACGTGCCACCATGCCCAGCTAATTTTTTTTTGCATTTTTAGTAGAGACGGGGTTTCACTATGTTTACTGGGATGGTCTCGATCTCTTGACCTTGTGATCCACCCGCCTCGGCCTCCCAAAGTACTGTGATTACAGGCTTGAGCCACCGTGCCCGGCCTAGGATATAAACTTTTTTACCATAACTTTTTAATGTTTCAATACTAGAGTTTCAAACTTCATTTGAAATAATCTAAGTCGGCCGGGCGCGGTGGCTCACGCCTGTAATCCCAGCACTTTGGGATGCCATGGCAGGAGGATCACGAGGTCAGAAAATCCAGACCATCCTGGCCAACATGGTGAAACCCCGTCTCTACTAAAAATACAAAAATTAGCTGGGTGGGGTGGGGCACACCTGTAGTTCTAGCTACTTGGGAGGCTAAGGCAGGAGAACTGCTTGAACCTGGGAGGCGGAGGTTGCAGTGAGCAGAGATCATGCCACTGTACTCCAGCCTGGCAACAGAGCAAGATTCCTTCTCAAAAAAAAAAAAAAAAAAACTAAGTCAGCTAGGAAGAGAGCTACAGATACAGTGTTTGGTCGATTTGGAGATTCTTTTGGAATTACATATTTATCTAAACAAGTTATTTTATTTTTGAGACAGAGTCCCACTTTATCACCAAGGCTGGAGTGCAGTGGCACGATCTTGGCTCATTGCAACCTCCACCTCCCAGGTTCAGGCGATTCTCCTGCCTCAGTCTCCCAAGTAGGTGGGACTATACGCACGTGCCACCATGCCTTGCTGATTTTTCTATTTTTAATAGAGAACGGGGGTTTGCTGTGTTGGCCAGGCTGGTCTCAAACTCCTAACCTCAGGTGATGTGTCCCTTGGCCTCCCAAAGTGATGGGATTATAGGTGCGAGCCACTGCACCTGGCCTAAACAAGTTATTTTAGCAGACAGATTTTATTTGCTAATTATCTGTGTTATCTTGGTCCTTTTTTTTTTTTTTTGAGACGGAGTTTCGCTCTTGTTACCCAGGCTGGAGTGCAATGGCGCCATCTCGGCTCACCGCAACCTCCGCCTCCTGGGTTCAGGCAATTCTCCTGCCTCAGCCTCCTGAGTAGCTGGGATTACAGGCACGAGCCACCATGCCCAGCTAATTTTTTGTATTTTTAGTAGAGATGGGGTTTCACCATGTTGACCAGGATGGTCTCGATCTCTCGACCTCGTGATCCACCCGCCCCGGCCTCCCAAAGTGCTGGGATTACAGGCTTGAGCCACCGCGCCCGGCCTTTGGTCCTTTTAATCATACTTCAGGTGGTTCCTGGAGAAATAATAGATCCCATTCCCCACCAGCTATTGAGAAAGTACATTGGCTTTGCTACTTATCTGTGTTATCTTGGTTCTTTTAATCATGCTTCAGGTGGTTCCTGGAGAAATAATAGATCCCATTCCCCACCAGCTATTGAGAAAGTACATTGGCTATGCTCGACAGTATGTCTACCCCAGACTATCCACAGAAGCTGCTCAAGTCCTTCAGGATTTTTACCTTGAGCTCAGGAAACAGAGCCAGCGGTTAAATAGCTCACCAATCACTACCAGGCAGCTGGAATCTTTGATTCGTCTAACAGAGGTTTGTTTCTTTTTATGGTCATGCTTTTTTGAATGACCATAAAAATGGTCATTCCATGGAATGGTACTCCATGACTTCTCTTTTGAACTATCGTCTGCATAATTGACTCAGTTTTTCTTTCTATTGAGAGACGTTAGAAATGGATGGATAAAAGTTTTTTTAAAAAGATTTTTGTCATGCCTGTAACCTATCAGTGCATAACTACTTCTAGTCACAGAATCAGTTACTTAGCATGCAACTTTTCTTTTTCTTTGAATGACACTTAGGAGCCCCTGGAATGTCTGAAAAGTGGTTAGGTTAACTAGGATTCCTGAGATCCCCAGTTGAATATATGGGAACATAGAATGTGTTGGGTATCTTGACTATTTTATTTTATTACATGACAGGTCCACAAGGATAGTGCCTGTGTTTTTAACAGCAATAATATCTGCTTACAGTTGTGAAATATTAAGAGAACTCTGGCAGTTAAAATTAACTAGCTCAGAGTTTGGGCTTTTTGCTCCTAAAATCTGATTAGCTCCTCTTTGTTATTTTACCATATTGGTTAGGCATGATTCCCTGAAAGTAAAAGGCAAGGGAAAACCAAGTATATTTCATCAAGTCTCTTGAAATGAACACTCATTTGATATGTTAATAAGTAAAAAGATATGTTAATAAGTAAAAAGATATGTTAATAAGTAAAAAGATATGTTAATAAGTAAACATGAGTTTTATCCTAAGTGAGTTACAATTTTCATATTCAAGATTTTAGAGTTTTTGTTTTTTTTTTTTTTTTTTGACCGAAATCAGGGTCTCCTTCTGTCACCCAGGCTGGAGTGCAGTGGCATGACCAAGGCTCATTGCAGCCTCTCCTCCCAGGCTCAAGCAATCTTCCCACCTCAGCCTCCCACATATCCAGGACTGCAAGCATACACCACCGCACCCAGCTAATTTATATATTTTTTTTGTAGAGATAGAGCCTCCCTTTGTTGCCCAGGCTGGTCTCAAGCTCCTGGGCTCAAGTGATTCTCCGGCCTCGGCCTCCCAAAGTGCTGGGATTATAGGCCTGAGCCACCACCACTGGCCTAGATAATTTTTTTCATATTTTGACTTCTGATATTATAACCTTCCTCACCTAAATGTCAGTTTTTGTGTAAAATGAGTAAATGAAATAAAGCTTAGACATACTATGGTAAATATATATATCCTTTGTCATCTGAAAATGGTGTTTTATTTCAAAGGCACGAGCAAGGTTGGAATTGAGAGAGGAAGCAACCAAAGAAGATGCTGAGGATATAGTTGAAATTATGAAATATAGGTAAGATAGAAATTTCAAATTGTTTTGAATGAAATACCAGTTATCAAATTAGGTAATAGGCCAATGCTAATTTTATTTAGCCATTGGGTCACTTATTTTCCTCTGAACAGAGTATTGTTTCTTTAAAATATCTCTCACTGTGTAAAATAATCTTTACATTAAAAATTTTTTTGAATGAGTAATTCATTTACATAGTGCTAAAATCAGTTGCAAAACCTACTGGAGAAGGGCTGGCTCCTATGCTGTTTACCACCTACTCACCCCCTTCACCCAGACACCCATTACTTTTCCATAGATAGTCTAGTATTTACACTCTTCTGTACCAGTGTTGAATTTTAACAATATATCCGCCGGGCGAGGTGGTGCAGCCTGTAATCCCGGCACTTTGGGAGGCCGAGGCAGGTGGATCACGAGATCAAGAGATCAAGACCATCCTGGTCAACATGGTGAAACCCCGTCTCTACTAAAAACACAAAAAATTTGCCGCGCATGGTGGTGCGTGCCTGTAATCCCAGCTACTCAGGAGGCTGAGGCAGGAGAATTGCCTGAACCCAGGAGGCGGAGGTTGCGGTGAGCCGAGATCGTGCCATTGCACTCCAGCCTGGGTAACGAGCGAAAACTCCATCTCAAAAACAAAAACAAAAAAACCAATATATCCAGAGATCTTTTTTTTGGAAATGGAGTCTAGCTCTGTCACCCAGGCTGGAGTGCGGTGGCGCGATCTTGGCTCACTGCAACCTCCGCCTCCCAGGTTCAAGCGATTTTCCTGTCTCAGCCTCCTGAGTAGCTGAGATTACAGGCGCCCATCACCACGCCCAGATAATTTTTGTATTTTTAGTAGAGACGGGGTTTCACTGTGTTGGCCAGGCTGATCTCGAACTCTTGACCTCAAGTGATCCACTGGCCTCGGCCTCCCAACGTCCTGTGATTATAAGTGTGAGCCACCGCGCCCAGCCTCAAGAGTCTTTTCTTACTAGAGATTCTTTCTTTCTTTTTTTTTTTTTTTTTACAGCTGCAGAGTATTCTGTTGTGCAGATACATTATATAGTATATTTAGTCAGTACCCTTATTGACAAATGAACATTTTCCATTCTTGTGCTTTTAAATAATGCAACAATAAGTAATGTTCTATGTAAGATACTTCATATATGGGTAAGTTGTACACCTACATGATAAATTTTCAGAAGTGGTATTTCTGGGTCCAACAGTAAATACTGTAGGTTTTTGATAAATATTGCTAAATTGTATCCTTTGCATTTTACATCATTTAGTAGATAATGATTCCTAGAAGACAGAAAAGAAAAATTAATTGCAGTTCTTTCTGCTAGCCAGTGGCAATTCTTAGTTTTTTGTGTGACTACGTATCTGTATAATTTTTTTCCCCTTTGTAGACAAAGAGTAACTGTAACATTCTATACTTTGCTTTTTTTCATTTAAAGTGCATTTTTAATATGCTCTCATAGAACTGAAAAAATATATATCTATTAGGAATCTACTTTTCCAAGACCAAAAAACATATTAAAGGTGAAATTATCTTATTTTGTTAAGTAATTTCTAATTCTTCCAAGGTAGAGGGATTCTTTTTTTCCTAGTAGCTGCTGATTCTGGGGCTTGCGTGGTGTCAGAACCAGGTGGTTTGCCCAGCTAGTCCCCTCTGGCTGTGAATAAAAGTGGTGCAGCACAGCTGGAAGAGCAAGGGCTTTGTAGTCCAACCTAGAGCTGCCATGGCAAGTTACACACTGCTTCTCAGTTTCCTCTGGTGTAAAACACGACATGAAGGAATGTGCGCTGAGGTGTCATGTAGAGATCTCTATAAAGTGACAGATAGGGTTTTGATACATTAGAAGACACTCAATAAACACTATATACTATCAAGTCTTTTTTTTTTTGAGACAGAGTCAGGCTCTGTCACCCAGGCTGGAATACAGTGGTACTCTCTTGGCTCACTGCAACCTCTGCCTCCTGGGTTCAAGTGATTCTCCTGCCTCAGCCTCCCAAGTAGCTGAGACTACAGGTGTGTGCCACCATACCTGGCTAATTTTTGTATCTTTAGTAGAGATGGGGTTTCACTATGTAGGCCAGGCTGATCTCAAACTACTGGCCCTAAGTGATCTTCCTTCCTTGGCCTCCCAAAGTGCTGGGCTTACAGGCGTGAGCCACCACCCCTGGTCCAATAGTGCAAGTTTTGTTGATAATATTCAGATGAGGCTGAGCAGATCTCCTTTTCTCTGAGTCATAAATCGAAGGCTTCAAAAACTGGCAGACCTCACCCTAAATAAGAAGTTTCCAAAATTACCCTTTTCAAAGAATTTTTATGGTCTAGTCCTCAATGCTGTCCATCTAAATTGTCCACCATGTCTTAGCTGCAGATCCTTTTTTCCTTGTCTTTTCTTAATAAGGAGAGACTTTACCTAGTTGTCTCTTTGTCCCCAGGCTGGTACTTGCCCATCCTGGAGGCTGCTTTATTCTCTCTGCTGCCTCTAGAAATATGCATATTGGTAGAAGGGCACCCATGCCACCTCCTGAAGGTGCAATAATCTGTAGCTTGTTTCCTGCCCTTATAGGGAATCCATGGAAGAAGAGGAATCTTTCTCCTTAATTCAGTCTCAGAGTTTGTAAGTTTCTACTGGCTGTCTTTGAAAGCTTTAAAGATTCTAGAATTGACAGCTCTTAATTTTTTATTGCTGGCACCAAACTGCACAACACCTCAGCGCACATTCCTTCGTGGCGTATTTTACACCAGAGGAAACTGAGAAGCAGTGTGTAACTTGCCATGGCAGCTCCAGGTTGGACTCCAAAGCCCTTGCTCTTCCAGCTGTGCTGCACCACTTTTATTCACAGCCAGAGGGGACTAGCTGGGCAAACCACCTGGTTCTGACACCATGCAAGCCCCAGAATCAGCAGCTGCTAGAAAAAAAGAATCCCTCTACCTTGGAAGAATTAGGAATTACTTAACAAAATAAGAAAAATTAATAACGATAACACCCAACCCTTTCAGCTAATTCCTAACAACTTACCTTCTCTATCTAAATATCCTGTTGGTATGACATTACACAGCGCTTTTTTTTTTTTTTTTTTTTTTTTTTGGGAGGCAGAGTCTTGCTCTGTCTTCCAGGCTGGAGAGTACAGTGGTGCCATCTCTGCTCACTGCAACCTTCACCCCCTGGGTTCAAGCAATTCTCCTGCCTCAGCCTTCCAAGTAGCTGGGATTACAGGCATGAGCCACCGTGCCTGGCATCACGCAGAGCTTGACCCATCAGTTTTCTTTCTATGTGATTCAGTACAAGGGTTTGAGTGAGCTTGTAGCTGAAAATTTTGCCAACCTGGCTTTGGTCCCTCTCCAATTGATCTCATTATGTTAGAGACCCTCCAGTTGCCATTTATAAGCAACCAGATAGTCTAGGAATTTACTAGACTGTCTCATACAATGTGCTGCTATGGGCTTGGTGTGCTAGCATATGAAGTAAAAGAATGGCCACAAAATCTTGTTGTCTACCTGACTTCTTGTGGGTGTGGCTTTCTGGGAGACCAGACTAGAGACTGACCAGCAGAGAGATTTTTTCCAATTAGGAAAGTAGGTCACAACCCCACCAAAATTTAAGAATTTTTTTTGTTGTTGTTTTAGCTTTTTTCCCCATAACAAAAACAATAGGCAGTTTTTGTTAAGAACTGCCAAAAATAGGCAGTTCTTATTTAATGATGATAAGTTGTCCATTGACTTAAACATAGAATGTGTGCATCTTGCTTTCTCTGCATCCTGCACTTGAACTCTCTACCTTTGGGAGTGTGGCTAAGACTCCCACTCCTGGCTTCCTTTTCCTTTTAATGACCTCTGGCCCTCTGGGTCTTCTGGTGGCTGGCTCTCCTGAATGTCACATTTCTACTTTGTAGACTGTTCATCTGTCAAGCAAGGGGTACACTACCTTTCTCCTTTTTTCTCTTAACCTGTAGCATTCTTTTGAGGCTTTACCATTGCCCAGTTTCTACAAGCCGAGACCTCAGGTGTTACCTCAACTGTCTAGTGTTTCCCCACAATAAATTCACTGGTCTGTGGACACAGTAGCTTAGTTCTTCTGTTTGAGCATCATGCTTAAGCAAAGTAAATTAGGCTATAATTACTTTTTCAATAAAAACGCTATATTGCCAATTTATGGTTGGCTTATACTTAGTATAAGATTTTTCTGCATGGCTGAATACTCCTGTTGGACAGTGTTCGCATATGCTTTCCTGTCCAAGAGGAATGCTTAGGTCTTGTCTCATGGAACTCTGTACTGCTTCTCAGAGTTGCTTTGCTGGTAAATTTGAGCAAGTTTTAGATAAGTTTACATCTGGGCCCCTGAAAAAAAAAAGAGGTCTTATTAAGTGAAACAGTACCCATATGAGATTACCAGATTGTTTCCCTGAATTGTCTCAGTATGTTTACTGGTGTTCATAAAAATTTTCAGGAAAAAGAAAATAGTTTGATTGGAATTACCTGACACTATGTCCATGGCAGAGATCAGGATCCGGTGAAACACAATGAAATTAGATTATGAATTATCTGTTTGTTATGCTTAACATGCATTCTGTCCTTAGTGTATGAGAGTAGGGACCTTACCTGACTCATTTACCAGTATATTCCCAGGGCCTAGAATCATGCCTGCCATAAAGTAGGCCTTTGGTAAATGTCCTGCATTGATGGTAAAGTTGACCTTAGTAATCATTATCCATTCATTCATTAAATCTTCCATTTCAGAGTTTTCATTTCTTCACCTTCATTGAATCTTTGCCCTTAATGTGGTTTTAAACCCTTAAGATTACGTTTTAACTGGGAAGCCGACACCTGAATAAGAAAGTTCTTAAACCATGACATAGCTTGTCTGAGTCTAAGCAAAGCACTTAGCTATATTTTAAAAACTAAATGTTTATATTTAGTAAACAGTTCACATAAGCTTTCTCCTAAAATTGAAAATATACGAGGTAGCAGAATAGAAGAGAGAGCCACCTTCAAAGGTGAGAGATCATTGTGAGTTTTTTTTCTATTTCAGGAAACTAGCTCAAATATTTTACATAGCCTTTTAAAATCTGAAGCAGTGTAGCACAGATTCAAACCTGAAATATGCCACTTACTAGTTGCGTAACTTCTGGCAAGTCACTTTAATGTTAGCCTTGTTTGGTGCAAAAGTAATTGGGCTTTTCCCATAAGAAAAAAATTTAAAAATCACTATTACTTTTGCACCAACCTAATAAGAATGTTTTTTCATTCTTGAAATGGGAATAAGAATAGTTCCTAAGTCACAGGATTGCTCGGAGAACTAAGTGGAATAGCCTATGGTAAATATAATTAAGATAAATGTTACCCATTATTATTAACCTGAAGCTTTTTAAAAGTTGAGATGGAGTTTTGCTCTTGTTGCCCAGGCTGGAGTGCAATGGCATGATCTTGGCTCACCGTAACCTCCGCCTCCTGAGTTCAGGCAATTCTCCTGCCTCAGCCTCCTGAGTAGCTGGGATTACAGGCACGCACCACCATGCCCAGCTAATTTTTTGTATTTTTAGTAGAGACAGGGTTTCACCATGTTGACCAGGATGGTCTCGATCTCTTGACCTCGTGATCCACCCGCCTCGGCCTCCCAAAGTGCTGGGATTACAGGCTTGAGCCACCGCGCCCGGCCTGGTATTTTTAACAACTTTCTCATGAGAAGCAAGTATATGGGAGGTTCATCATAAAAGAGATTATGCTGTATTTCAGAGAAAAACACTTATCCATCTTATTGTTTTATCATTTTTTAATAGTCTTATTTGAATGACTCATTCTTATTGTATAATGTAGGCTCTTAACTATTCAAGGAATAAAAGGAAGGTTTATTGTTTATAACCCATTTAAAGCCATCTCTGCATGCTTCTTAAGGGGAGGAAGTAATCCTGTTTTGTTCACCACTATAAGCCTATTGCTCAGCAGGTGACCAGTATGTATTTGATTAATTAATTCCTGATTAATTAACAGTTTTGCCAGTTATCCTGGCTGTGAAATACAGCTATCCCATTGTTCAAGCAGGGAATCAGCAACAGGGTTGGATTAAACAGGTTGGTTAATTGTGTTTCTAACTGGTGTTTCCAGATTTCTAACTAAAATTCACTATCAAGTACGTATTTCTTTCCTTGGTGATACTGTGAAAATAAGAAAAAAGAAGAAATCTGGCAGTAATAGGTGTATCCTTTAATATCTAACCATTATTATGCAACTCAGCATAACCTTTCTAGTTCATCCCTAGGATATTTTAAATACCTTTTATTTGTCAGATGCTGCACCAGGAGATTGGGCACATTTTTATTCAGTAAAGTCTAAATTTATTATATTTAGAATTTCTTTTCTTCATGAATCAAAAAGAATGTCCCAGGTATTTATATTGTAGTTTATCAATTTTGTGTTTTTATGCATTTCTCTCTTGAAATTTAGAAGTTTCTTAAAAGTGGTAACCGTCCAAAATATTTTTATCCCCTATCAATCCATGTCATAGTGAATTTCAAAGTGACCACTCATAGAAGTTTCTTAAAAGTGGTAACCATCCAAAATATTTTTATCCCCTATCAATCCATGTCATAGTGAATTTCAAAGTGACCACTCATAAACACAGGTTGAAATGTTTGCTAAATGAGCCTTGTAGCCACTTCCAAATTTTTCTTCTATAACCTGAAAGCCCAGAACAGTAGTTTCCATGGCAGTGCCACGTTGGGTAATTTTTTTCTTCCTTTCCTTTTAAGCATGCTAGGAACTTACTCTGATGAATTTGGGAACCTAGATTTTGAGCGATCCCAGCATGGTTCTGGAATGAGCAACAGGTCAAGAGCAAAAAGATTTATTTCTGCTCTCAGTAACATTGCTGAAAGAACTTATAATAATATATTTCAATTTCATCAACTTCGGCAGATTGCCAAAGAGCTAAACATTCAGGTATGTTAAACTAGTTAATCTCTTTTATAAGAATTTCAGGAGGTCCTTATTAATATACTAGAACAGAAACAGTTTTTACTTATTTAAAATTCCTACCTGCTTCTTCTCAGTCTTTCCAGCATCTTGATGGTCAGAGGGAAACATTGTAGTAAGACAGAGTCTCTGTGTTTTTCTGACAGTCTCTTGTGGATAAGTCATTTTAACACTTTTAACATCAGTTCCCTCATCTGTTAAATGGACATAATTATACCTGCTTTTTCTACTTTAAAGTTCTCATGAAAATCAGTGTTATAGCACTTCAAACATGTGCTATTACACATTATGGAAAATTGCCTGCTTAATTTCAAAAGTCTGATACTTGTTTTTCAGCTAATCTAAAATGTAAAATATTCTCGGCCTAATGGAATTTTTGTTTTTTATTTAGGCATTATAGAATCCAGAGCTCAAATGTAGGCAGTTTGCTCTGTAAGAAGTAAAAATATTGCCCAAGAAACTTTACAGTTATATATTATTGTTTGAGAGATTTATTTTAAAAGTAGTATTTTGACATGTTACTTAATGAGATAAACCTTTTGATTTTTTCTTCCAGGTTGCTGATTTTGAAAACTTTATTGGATCACTAAATGACCAGGGTTACCTCTTGAAAAAAGGCCCAAAAGTTTACCAGCTTCAAACCATGTAAAAGGACTTCACCAAGTTAGGGCCTCCTGTGTTTATTAGCAGATTAAAGTCATCTCAATGAAGATATATGCATGCGCACACACACACACACACACACACACACACACATACACAAACACACACACACTCTCAAATACTGTTCTCTGAAAAATGATGTCCCAAAAGTATTATAATAGGAAAAAAGCATTAAATATAGTAAACTAATTTAGGAAGTAATAAAATCTCCAGATGCAGTAGCTTACACTATAATCACAGTGACCCAGGAGGCTGAGGTGAGAGGATTGCTCGAGGCCAGGGTTCGAGACCAACCTTGGGCAACATAGCAAGACCCTATTTCTTAAAAAAAAAAAAAAAAAAAATTAAACTTAGCTGGCTGTGGTGGCACATGCCTGTAGTCTCAGCTGCTTGTGAGGCTGAGACAGGAGGATTATTTGAGTCTAGGAGTTTGAGGTTACAGTGAGCTGTGATCACACCACTGCACTCCAGCCTGGGCAGTAGAGTAACTCTTGACTCAAAAGAATAAAAAAAATTGCAATGATAGTCATGTGTTAATTGTTAAATAAATTCTCCAAAAGGCTAAAAGTAAATTACTTATAAATTATTTATAGTTACGGTTTTGACCTGCCTTTTTGTATGTATGAATATTTCATAGTTTTGTATATCAAATGTAGGCATTCAGGCAAATGCATAAACCAGTGAACATATTACATATTCTGTGTTCCAATAAAACTTTATAAAGGACACTAAAATTTGAATTTCATAAAATTTTCCCATGTCAAAAATACAAAATACTTGATTCTTTGTTTTAGTCATTTAATAATAGTAGCCTCATTTAGTCCACAGACTGGTTTGTAGTGTCTTGGTTGCAAACAATAGAAACTGACTGATTAAGCAGAAATTTTTTGAAAGAATATTGGTTAGCTTATGGAATTATTAGAAGGCAGGTAAACCAGAAGGATAAACTTCCAGCAGCGATTTGTAAAACCATGCCTTAGAACTGTACTAAAGAAGAAGCTGCTGACACTCTTCTGCCACACAGGGCAGTAGAAGAAAGTGATACTGCCTCCATGCCCCACCTTTGTCACTTCTGCAGCAGGAATAGGTAGAGGAATGCCCCCATCCACACTGGAACAGCAACAGAAAGATTCTCTGTGAGGCTTCCCTAAATTGCTGAGTTCAAAAAGGAAGTCTCATCCAAAGACATCTGATTGAAAAAGGCTATGTTATATACCCTTTTCATAGGCTGCTAGGGAGTTTTCCTCGTTCTACCTTTGGGTGGTGGGATCAATAAAACCAGAATTTCTCGTATGTTGTGGGAGGATTCAAATGTTACAGGGTTGCCAGCCAAACTATCAATCATGTATAAATCTAACAGTTTGTAACACAAGAACTCGGGAAATGTGAGCCGTTGCTGGAGAATCTACTAAAAATTCAACTTCCAGCAAACCGGAAGATGAATAGAAAATGTAAATAAAAACAACTGGCAGTGTATATCAGATATTTAACTGTAGGATCAAAACTAAAATGTGGAGACTGTTGCCATAGACCACAATGTAAACTTTTTTTTTTAAGGAAGGAAGGAAAAATCAGGAATCAAAAGAGAGGCCAGGTGCAGTGGCTCACATCTATAATCTCAGAGCTTTGGGAGGTTGAGGCTGGAGGATTACTTGAAGCCAGGAGTTCTGAGGCCAGCCTGTGCAACACATTGAGACCCTACCTCTACAAAAAATAGACTGGGCATGGCAGTGCATGCCTATTGTCCTAGTTACTGTGGAGGCTGAAGTAGGAAGATCACTTGAGCCCAGGAGTTTGAGGTTGCAGTGAGCTATGATTATACCACTGTACTCCATCCTGGGCAAGAGCAAGACTTTGTCTTTTAGAGAAATAAAAGGGGAAAATAGATAGTAGTATAAATAATAGCGAGGTCTTTAAAGGCTATGGGTTAAAAGATCTATAAAGCGAATTAGCCAGGGATGGTGGCGCGTGCCTGTAATCCCAGCCACTAGGAAGGCTGAGGCAGGAGAATCACTTGAACCTGGGAGGCAGAGCTTGCAGTGAGCCAAGATCACACCACTGCACTCCAGCCTGGGGAATAGAGTGAAACTCTGTCTCCAAACTAACTAAATATATTTAAAGCTAAAAAAATTATTAATAGAATTTAAAACATTTCACAAAAGTCAACACAATATCAACCATGATAAAGTGGTAGACGAGGAAATGTACTTACTGTTCAAAGAGGAAAGTAAGTCTCAAAGGTGAGGGTTATTACATAAATTTATTTTATAAAGACAGACTTACATTTTCAGAGGAAATAGTTCCATGTTTCCTTAGATTCTGTCTTTAGCATCCATTAATCACAGGGCCAGACTAATAAAAGTTGTTAAGCTTTCCCTTACAATCCAGCTTTTGTGGGTACTACTCAAACATCACAGTACAGTCCCTCCAACCACAAACCCCGACATCTAGTATTTCACCTCCTGCTCAGTAGGGGTGTCCCCACACCTTTCAACCACTATTGCAATAAAGCTCTCACCTAGGTTTTTCACTTGCTTCTTTACCTCCTGACTGACTTTCCTCACGTGGCCTGGTGTGGCATGGCATGCCCTCTTCAGAGATGAAAGTCATCTTTCATAGGCAATTGTTTCTGTGTCACTATTGCTGATTAAAACAATTCCTAAGTACAAATAGAACAGAAACATGCAAAGCAAGAAAATATTACATCATGAAAGTTTTTTTTTAAGACATAGTGGTCTTGCTGTGTTGTCCAGGGTGGACTCGAACTTCACAGCTCAAGCAGTTCTCCCACCTCAGCCTCCTGAATAGCCTAGACTATAGGCATGCGCCACTATGCCTGGCTGCAAAAATATTTTATTAAGAGATGGTCTTGTTCTGTCGCCCAGGCTGGAGTGCAGTGACATGGTCAAGCCTTGATCTCCTCTCAAGCAGTCCTCCTACCTTCGCCTCCTGAGTAGCTGGAACTACAGGAATGTGACACCATGCCCGGCTAGTTTTGATTTTAGTAGAGATGAATGCTTGCTTTGTTGCCCAGGCTGGTCTCAAACTCCAGGGCTTCCTGAGTAGCTGGGACTACAGGTGTGAGCCACCATGCCCAGCCTTCTCTTTCTACCAATATTGTGCTAAGTAAATTGTTTGGTGGTAATCAATTTGATCACTTCATCCTTGGATAAAGGATATCAAGGTGAAAGTATAACTGAACCAGAAGAGCAATAAACACCACACTGTGATTGGTGGATCTTTATAGCTCCCCTGTGATAAAGAAGGGAAATTCTGTACTTATATTAACAGGTTATAGTTACTGTTGCTATACAGAAGAATATTAAACAATATTAGTATATTGTTTGAATGCATTTAATTCATAAACAATTATATGGATATGGACTAGCCAAAGGGTTGGGTAATAGGAGATACAGTGATATGGTGATTTGGTGTTCAGTATCCATTCTATCCTCCTAGTGTGCCTTCCTACAATGCAGAGGCTGGAAGGTGAGAAAATAACCATATTTCCCAGACTCCCTTTGCAGGTAGATTTCCAGATGTGAATTGAGTTCCACTGGTCAGATATCCATGTGTGAGATTTGGAAGGCAGACTTGAGAATAGAGCCATCTTCCTCTTGCTTGTGTTCTGGTGGCATGTGTGGTTGATGAGACAATTTCCCTGTAGCAGAATTCTTGCTTCATGTTCAAAAACAAAATGCTTCACGTGGCTGAGCGAAGAAAAAAATGGTATGTTTGGATTCCATTTGCAGGTATTACATAACCTCATCTTAAATTAAATGCCTAGTTTTTGGTGGGGAAAAAAATTGTCTCATGCTCACATTTGACGGTTCCTCTCAGAAATAAGCCATTTAAAGAGAACACAGTACTGGTTTAATTTTTTCTGGTTGGGGCAGAGGGAAACAAGTGGTTTACCGTCTTTCAAAACTTAGTCAGATGTTCTGAATAGGAAGATAGTTAGATGTAACATTAAAACAAGGCTTTCTGAACCAGCAATCCCCAACCTTTTGCCACCAGAGACTAGTTTCAGGGAAGACAATTTTCCACAGACTTGGGTAGGGGGATGGTTTTGGGATAAAACTTCCACCTCAAGTCATCAGACATTAGATTCTCATAAGGAACACACAACCGAGATCTCTCGAATGTGCATAGGGTTCACACTCCTGTGAGAATCTAATGTGCTGTTGATCTGGCAGGAAGTGGAGCTCAGGTGGTGATGCTTGCCGGCTGCTCACCTCTTGCTGTGTGGCCTGGTTCCTAAGAGGCCATGGATTAGTACTGGTCCACAGCTCAGGAATTGCGGACCCGTGTAACAAAAGGAAATCTTTACAGGATGAAGGAACTGAATGGAAAATAAAGCAAGATGTACACTAAATAATGCTAAAAATCCCATAATCACCTTTAAAATATTACAAGCAGAGGGGAAAAATATTAAAACCAACTCTTTTTACTTTCTTATTTGTAGATAATGCCTGCCTATGAGAATGTTATTTCTTTTAAAGGTTCCAAAAGTACCATATAAAAACTTGGTAATGATTTAATTGTTCACATACTCTGGTGACATCAATACTTTTTCAGGAAGAAATATGGAATGGCTGGCATCAGAAGTTGACGTAGGAATTAGTTTAGCCAGATGCAGTGGCACATGCCTGAAGTCTCAGATACACAGGAGGCTGAGGCAGGAGGATGGCTTGAAGCCAGGAATTCTGGGCTATTATACTGTGCTATGCTGATTGGGTGTCCACATCAATATGTTGACCTGGGAGTGGTGAACCTGCCCAGGTCAGAAATGGAGCAGGTCAGTAGTGGGATCGCACCTGTGAAGAGCCACAGCACTCCAGCCTGGGCAACATATGGTAAGACCTTTTCTCTTACCTAAAAAATAATAAAAATTTAAAAGAATTAGTTTAGATCTCTTGATAATTTAAACAGTAATCTAAATTATAGAGTATAGGTGGAGTTAATTTCTGGAAGTCCTGAGGAGCTATGCCCAAGATTGCGCCACTGGACTCCAGCCTGGGCAACAGAGACTGTCTTAAAAAAAAAAAAAAAAAAAAAAAGCAGGGACAATAGAAAAGGAGAGAGATTGTGGTGAGAAAAGGAAGAGGTCGTGACAAGTATTAACAGTAGCTAAACTCTGGTAAAAGGTTGAAAGGCTATATTTGAAGCATGTTTGGAAATGCCATGTAGCTATGCAAATGCTCTTCTTTGCTCTCTAAAATCTTCAGTTAATTCTGTGTTGCCCACCGATGCTACTGCTACTAGGCAGGTGGAATTTTGTTTCTATGAACATCAAAGAGAACAGCTGAGGTTACAAAGAAAGATGCCATACAACGTTTATTAACATAGAACTAGTTTCTCTCGATTCTCAATAAATATTGAACAAAGTTTCAAACATAAATTAGTTTGAAGAGGCACCAAAGCACTGCCCATCTGGATGCTCATATAGATCTCAGACCAACCTTGTACAAGAATATACTGTATCTATATCTCCTGCTAACTTTGCCCTGCTTTAAAGTTATTCCTCCATCTTTTCCATCCTTCCCTCAACTATGTTTTTATACAGCATGAAGTTTTCTTTCTTTCTTTCTTTTTCTTTTCTTTTTTTTTTTTAAAGAGACAAGGTCTTAAGCTCTGTCACCCAGGCTGGAGTACAGTGGTGTGATCACAGCTCACTGCAGCCTTGAACGCCTGAGCTCAAGAAATCCTCCTCTCTCAGCCTCTTGAGGAGCTAGGACTACAGGCACATGCCACCACACCCAGCTAATTTTTAAATTTTTTGTAGAGAGGGGGTCTTGCTATGTTGTTCATGTTGGTCTCAAACTCCTGGTCTCTCAAACCACTGGAATTACAGGTGTAAGGCCCTGTGTCCAGCCAGTTGTATAAGGCATTTCAAAACTTTTATGAAATAAAGTTGCTGATAAATACAAATAATATACATGATGATGGCTAGCCAGTCCACAAAAGCCCTTCTTTTATAAAATTATTTTCCAGTTCTAATCTGAGATCATCTGAGTAAATCCTCCTCTCCTCTGCCAAAACTGACATCGTGGCATCAAGAAGCGCTCCTCTTTGTTCATCTGCTGAGGGAGTAGAAGAGGAAGGATGTTCAAGCAGCCCAGGGCACAGTATTCTGCAGGGCCATCAGAGAGGTGTAGAGCAGAGACAGAAACTAAATCTGTGGGGTACCTGCAGCTTCCTGCTAGCATGAAACCTGAGCAAAGCTATGACTTCTACATCCTCCCTGGTCACATCCCAGTTCCCTGGGTCCTAACAACTGGCCACTGTTGCCCTCTCTACTGGGAAACCCAACTCTTTTCGCAGATTAGAGTATTTCTCTTTATCACAGTACAAAGAAAAGTCATCTCAGATCTCCTGTCCTTTATTTCTACCCCTAAAGCAAGCACTCGGCTCTTTGGGAATGTCTAAGGGTGTTTCTCCATCTCAAAAAAAAAAAAAAAAAAAGACTTTAAACTCAACGTTAAGATGGGTCAGCCATCATAAATGGGGATGGTGGAGGGATAGGCGGCAAGAACCATTCACATTCAGTTCAACATTGAACGCAACAAGAAAAAATTCTGGAACATTGCAAAATAATATTGATATGTCAATGTTTAATATACTAATCCGAATATATTTATTAATGAACTGATTCATAGCTATCTCGGATATTATATAATAAGTTTTTTTTTTTTTTTTTTTTTTTTTTTTTAGACGGAGTTTCGCTCTTGTTGCCCAGGCTGGAGTGCAATGGTGCGATCTCGGCTCACCGCAACCTCCGCCTCCTGGGTTCAGGCAATTCTCCTGCCTCAGCCTCCTGAGTAGCTGGGATTACAGGCACGCGCCACCATGCCCAGCTACTTTTTTGTATTTTTAGTAGAGACAGGGTTTCACCATGTTGACCAGGATGGTCTCGATGTCTTGACCTCGTGATCCACCCGCCTCGGCCTCCCAAAGTGCTGGGATTACAGGCTTGAGCCACCGCGCCCGGCAATAAGCAAGTTTCTTAACCTCTCTACACCTAAGCTGCCTCATCTGTAAAAATAAAGGTAATAATGGAACCCTTATTTTGCAGTTGTTGGGATGATGCACTATAGCCTGGCTATAAAGTAAGCACTGTTTCAGCAACACAATTAGCCATAATTAACATTTTCTAATGCTTATATTTTTGGCATATGCATCTTCATTCAATGCTCAAAAAGGAGAGGCTTAGAGGGCCAATATTGATTAATCATTTCTTCCGTACCAGATACTCTAAACCACCCACAAGAACCCTAGGGCTCCACATACACCTTGGAGGGGCCCTTTCCGCCGGCCACCCGCCTCGGAGGGTTTCAGGCCAGGGCCTAGGGTGGCTCCTGTCCCTTCGGGGCTAGTCGGCAGCGCGGTCATGCCACCTCATCCGTTTCTCTCCTTCCCTCCCCACCAGCCTTGGCTCCCGGCTATGGACCAAGAACGGAAGGCGCCGCGAACCAACTGCTTCCTAAAACCCACTGGGCCCGACGCGCGCCTCCGCTGCGTCGGGGGCGCTGGGCAGCCCAACGGCGACAGTGTCGTAAAAGCGTCGCAAAGGCTTCCGCCCTTGGCGGCTCCTTGCCACCTGTATAAATGGAGCGTGTTGAGGGTGTGAAACCCAGTATAGAGACAGAGGCGGCGCGGGTTATGTGTGGTTCCTGGGTCTACATGTTGAAGCAGCTTTCCAGTGTCCCAGGCTGCTGAGATCCCACCGGCCGAGTCCTCGCGGCGCGGCCGCAGTGCCATGCTAGCTTCGCGCGTGGCGCGCGGTTCGTGGGGGGCCCTGCGCGGTGCCGCTTGGGCTCAGGGGACGCGGCCGGGCAAGGGGCGCGCCTGCGGGGCCCTGCTGCCACCCGTGCCCTGCTGCTTGGGCTGCCTGGCCGAACGCTGGTGGCTGCGTCCGGCCGCGCTTGGCTTGCGGCTGCCCGGGGTCGGCCAGCGGAACCACTGCTCGGGCGTGGGGAAGGCGACCCCCAGGCCAGCGGTCGGAGCGGGCGCCGCCGCCGAAGCCCCGGGCGGCCAGTGGGGCCCGGCGAGCGCCCCTAGCCTGGTACGTACCGACGAGGGGGCGGCGGGCCGGCCCTGGGCTGGGGTCGCCGGCCCTGGACTAGAATAACGCTCTGGGTGGTGCAGCTCGAACGCTTCCGTTGCCTGACTTTCAGACAGTCCGCTGAAAAGAAGTTACTGGCAGGTCATTCTGTCGGGATGAATTTCAGAGTCACAAGTGGGAACCACCTACGGTCTCGGTGGTCAAGTTAGAAACCCTCTCTCATCCCCCTCCTATCTGCACCCGTTGGCGAAAGGGCCTCCACTACATACTGCGTTGGTAAAGGTAGAGCTGGCTTGTCTTACTAAAAGCTTATTTTTAATTCTTCTGAAGCGAATCCCCAGTATTTAGGGCAAGTCTTTGGGAATCTTTAGAAAGGGATTAAAACTATTCTTGAGGTGACAGAGGGAAATATTTGTCCACTTACTTGTTGATATGTTGCCCAGATAGAAGACACCCGAGCATGAGTGTGGGAGAGCTTTTGATGTCATGTTAGCAAGACTCATGCAATTGTTACATCTTCAATTGTTATGTCTTCAGTGGCCGCTGTACTGCTTTCATCAGTTGTACAGCATGGGTTGAGGTGGCCAGATCCTGGCAGGGGTCTCAACTCCACTAATAGCTAAAGCATGTTGGCGTTTGAATGCTGGATACTTTGAAGTTGCCATATCCTGGCTGAAGTCCTTCCCAGAACGGCAATAGTTGGTCGAGTATGCCACAGGTTATCTGGTTGAGTAATCTGAGATTAGCTCTCTTAATGTTAACTTTGAAACGTTTACAGATTTAATGAGAGTGTCACAAATTAGTGAGACACTTTAATTGAAATACTTAACGTGGAGCTAAAAAGAACTCCCTTTGCTGTTCCAGCAACGTTCAGTTCTGTTTGTTAATTCACCCAATGAAATGATGTTTCTCTTTACAACTTTGTCTTTAGTTTTGTCCTATGGATATTTCCGAAGTTAATTGGGTGCTCTTTTTTCTGATCTTTTGCCTTGCTACTGCTTTTTCGCAACCATGTGCAACCTTGTCCCCTCCCCACTCTTCCCTGCTGGTTGCTCTAACCTTTGATCAGTATTTGACTTATTCTGTACCATAGTATGGTCAACAGACTTATCTTTTTTCTCTGGACTCTGAAACACTCGAAAACACTTTTGAACTTGAATTTGGGATGTATTCCACGAATGTTTTTATTTCATTATATAATACGGATTACTTTCAGTAAAATACCTCATAGAGGTTTGTATTGCTTCTAGTTTGTGATTGCTCTTCGGATAATTTGAAGTTTTCCTATAGCTTTCAATGACAGTATTCTGCCACTTAACCCCAGCAACAGCTATTTAATTATCCCTTCAAGCTGAGATGCTTTCTTACTGGTTCCTTTTATAAACACAGACATAATATCTTTAGGGAATACCTTTTTTTGTTTGTTTGTTTAACATGATAGTTTTTGGAATTTTAAAAGATGTCTTTAGAAATGGACTTTGCCACCTTTTTTACAATCAAAATTAAGATTCAGGCAAGTTGGCTAGTACTGATTAAGAAAGAGGTTAAATGGGGTTCTAGTGAAGAGAAAGTCCCATGGGGTGGACTTGGCAGTCTTGACTCAATGGAGAAAAAAAACCTATGCTTCAGGGAGAGGCATTTTCTTGGTGTTATTTCTGTACCCTGTTGTGCACGGTGTCTTAACTCTGCTGGGCTGAGACTTTTGAAAGTTGAAGTACCCTCTCACAAGTCAGATTCTGTTTGGCAAGGAGGGGATGTCCTTCATACAGCTGCCAAAGAGCTCGTTTGTTAGTGCCAACTTCAAACAGCTTGGCTCCAAATGAAGTTTCAAGGAATCGCAAAGCCTATGGGAACTGTGAAAGCCCTTGGTTTTTAGTTGAGGTTGTTTACATTTCCGTGACTGTTTTGAACAAATTTACAAAATTTCTCGATTTCCAAATGTCACAATCCCTATTCCTATCTCCATTTTCGTCCAGTATTTCTCTGACTTAATGATGAGATTATAGAATTAAATGTTTTTGTTCTCTTCATTCATACCTCCAAACATTGTATAGCATTTAGCATTCTTTAGATATGTATAGGGGAGTGAGGGACATTCTTTGCAGAAAATATTTGAAGCTGAATGCCTGGTGTTGATAATGTGGCTTCTGTGACACTTTTACTTGTAAATAGACACTATTTGTCTGCTTACAAGATCTTCCTGAAGTTTCACCTCTTTAAAAGCAGAGTGTTGAAAGTTCTGAGTTCTTACAATGAAATTATACTTTAAAGGCTTAGCTTATATGGCAGATATTACATGTTTTCTGTTTTCCCTCTTAAGAAAACCTATAATATGTAAGATCTCTTAGTCTGTGTTTAGGTATGTGATGCATCTTCATTTTCTGTATTCTTTTTTTTTTCTTTTTTTAATTAAAAAAATTGAGATGGGAATCTCTCCATGTTTCCCAGGCTGGTCTCTAATTCCTGGGCTCAAAGGATCCGGCTGCTTCGGCCTCCTGAAGTGCTGGGATTATAGGCATGAGCCACCACACGGAGCCATCTTCTGATTCTTGAAAGATTTTGGGAAGATATCTGTAAAAAGAACACAATGGATTTAAAAATTCAATTTAATGTATTAAAGTTTATGTAGCTTCTGACTCAGGCTGATGACTGATGAAGTATATTTTTCTAATGTATATAGTTATTCAAAGTATGAATTCATTGTATTTAATTTACATTTTGTTGTCTTTGTGTTTCAGTATGAAAACCCATGGACAATCCCAAATATGTTGTCAATGACGAGAATTGGCTTGGCCCCAGTTCTGGGCTATTTGATTATTGAAGAAGATTTTAATATTGCACTAGGAGTTTTTGCTTTAGCTGGGCTAACAGATTTGGTAAGTTGTAAATGCACTGCCATTTTGCTCTCCTTCCAAATTCCCAGGTCTCTATTACTACAGCGAAATAGCATACCCTTAGCCTGCTTTTCTTTGGGAGGGAATTCTCAAGATGAATTTGACTTAGTACTTTATGTGAGGACTTCGTCTTTAGAATCTGTATGGGACCCTTTTTTTTTTTTTTTGCCTATGATCTCAGGGAGGAAGTGAAGGTTGTAGGGAAGTATAGGAGGGGATACTTTGTATTCTTAGTTTTTAAGAGTAAAAGAAACACCCTTAGACATTCCCAAAGAGCCGAGTGCTTGCTTTAGGGGTAGAAATAAAGGACAGGAGATCTGAGATGACTTTTCTTTGTACTGTGATAAAGAGAAATACTCTAATCTGCAAAAAGAGTTGGTTTTCCCAGTAGAGAGGGCAACAGTGGCCAGTTGTTAGGACCCAGGGAACTGGGATGTGACCAAGGAGCATGTAGAAGTCATAGCTTTGCTCAGGTTTCATGCTAGCAGGAAGCTGCAGGTACCCCACAGATTTAGTTTCTGTCTCTGCTCTACACCTCTCTGATGGCCCTGCAGAATACTGTGCCCTGGGCTGCTTGAACATCTCTCCTCTTCTACTCCCTCAGCAGATGAACAAAGAGGAGCGCTTCTTGATACCACAATGTCAGTTTTGGCAGAGGAGAGCAGGATTTACTCAGATGATCTCAGATTAGAACTGGAAAATAATTTTATAAAAGAAGGGCTTTTGTGCACTGGCTAGCCATCATCATGTATGACATTATTTGCATTTATCAGCAACTTTATTTCATAAAAGTTTTGAAATGCCTTATACAACTGGCTGGACACAGGGCCTTACACCTGTAATTCCAGTGGTTTGAGAGGCCAGGAGTTTGAGACCAACATGAACAACATAGCAAGACCCCCTCTCTACAAAAAAATTTAAAAATTAGCTGGGTGTGGTGGCATGTGTCTGTAGTCCTAGCTCCTCAAGAGGCTGAGAGAGGAGGATTTCTTGAGCTCAGGCGTTCAAGGCTGCAGTGAGCTGTGATCACACCACTGTACTCCAGCCTGGGTGACAGAGCTTAAGACCTTGTCTCTTTAAAAAAAAAAGAAAAGAAAAGAAAAAGAAAGAAAAGCTTCATGCTGTATAAAGACATAGTTGAGGGAAGGGTGGAAAAGATGGAGGAATAACTTTAAAGCAGGGCAAAGTTAGCAGGAGAAATAGATACAGTATATTCTTGTACAAGGTTGGTCTGAGATCTATATGAGCATCCAGATGGGCAGTGCTTTGGTGCCTCTTCAAACTAATTTATGTTTGAAACTTTGTTCAATATTTATTGAGTGAGAATCCAGAGAAACTAGTTTTATGTTGTTGTATGGCATCTTTCTTTGTAACCTCAGCTGTTCTCTTTGATGTTCATAGAAACAAAATTCCACCTGCCTAGTAGCAGTAGCATCAGTGGGCAACATAGAATTAACTGAAGATTCTGGAGAGCAAAGGAGAGCATTTGCATAGTTACATGGCATTTCCAAACATGCTTCAAATATAGCCTTTCAACCTCTCTTTTACCAGAGTTTAGCTACTGTTAATATTTCTCATGACCTCTTCCTTTTCTCACCACAATCTCTCTCCTTTTCTGTTGTCCCTGCCTTTTTTTTTTTTTTTTTTAAAGGTGAATTCTCTCTCTGTTGCCCACATTGGAGTGCAGCAGTGTGATCTCGGCTCAGTGCAGCCTCTGCCTGTGGGATTCCAGGAGTTCTCCTGTCTCAGCCTCCTGGGTAGCTGGGATTATAGGCACGCACCACCACACTTGACTAATTTTTGTGTTTTTAGTAGAGATGGGGTATTACCATGTTGGCCAGGCTGGTCTCAAACTCCTGACCTCAAATCATCCGCCCACCTCGGCCTCCCAAAGTGCCAGTATTACAGACGCCCAACCTGTTCCTTCTATCCCAAGGCCTCCACTCATTGTTAATCTGATCTCCAAGTCCGCCAAAGGCCATTATACGATAACAACTTTTTTTAATATAACAGACAAGATCTATCTACTGTAGTCACTTCTGTCTGCTACTTTTTTTTTAAGCTGCCAAATGAGATTGCAGTATTCATTGAATGTTAGAGAGGGCCCATTAACATTTTCCTAAATACGTAAGATGATGTTTGTGGAAACCTAAGTTAACGGGTGCCACATTTCATGTTTTCCATGGAGGTTTTAGTGCCTTTAGATTGGCCACTGGGAGATGGCTGGACTCACCAGTTTAAGCCAGGGAATAATGGAATGTGATTGGGTTGTATGTGGAAAATGGATTATAGACAGGCAAGAGTGGAAACAGAGTAACTGGTTAAGGGGCTGACTGTGATCTAGGGCAGCAGTGGTGGGAGCTTACATGGGGGTTGGAGTTTGGAATTGGAGAGAGGTATGTGAGTTTAAGATATATTTTAAAGACAGAGGTACTATGTTGGTAGATTAGATATATGGAGTGAGAGTAGGAAGAATCAAATATGAATACTAAGCTTTTTTTTTTTTTTTTTTTTAATTCTCTTCTAAAATTGGGTGCTGTCGGGCATGGTGGCTCACACCTGTAATCCCAGCAATTTGGGAGGCTGAGGCGGGGGAATCACCTGGGGTCAGGAGTTCGAGACCCACCTTGCCAACATGGTGAAACCCCGTCTCTACTAAAAATGCAAAAATTACCTGGGCGTGATGGCGCGTGCCTGTAAATCCTAGCTACTGGGGAGGCCGAGGCAGGAAAATTGCTTGAACCCAGGAGGCAGAGGCTGCAGTGAACTGAGAACACACCATTGCACTCCAGCCTAGGAGACTGTTTCAAAATGAAACAAAACAAAACAAAAACCAGGTGCATGGAAATGACATTTTCTGTGATGGGCAACACTTGGGTAGGGCAGAGTTTAGTGGAAAATACTAAGAATTCTGTTGCCTGTCCACGTAGAGGTATTGACTGGGCAGTTTAGCAGTTTGGAGTTGGAGGAAGTCATCTTTACAGAGAGAAATTTGGGGGCTGTCAGATATAGATGGTCAGATAGGTGTAAAATCATCCAGGCTCAGGAAACAGAAATGAAGGGTTAGAGCAGGCGTCCCCAAACTACGGCCCGCAGGCTGCATGCGGCCCCCTGAGGCCATTTATCCGCGCCCCCCCACCCCCCCGCACTTCAGGAAGGGGCACCTCTTTCATTGGTGGTCAGTGAGAGGAGCACAGTATGTGGCGGCCCTCCAACGGTCTGAGGGACAGTGAACTGGCCTCCTGTGTAAAAAGTTTGGGGACACCTGGGTTAGAGAAATGAGCAACACATCGAGTACTGGAGAAGAAGCCAGTCAGGAGCCCTGAAGGAATAGCTGGCAAAGAAGGAGGAAAATCAGGCAGGAAGAGTTCCTGGAAAGTGGAGAAAATGCTTCAGTTGTGTTGAGGTCAGGTAATCTAACAATGTGGAAATTGTCAGTGACCTTTATGAGCCTCACCTCTGGAGGGGTGGGGACAATTGGAGTGGGTTGATTAACAGGTGTGAGATGGTAATGACATGTTGCTTTGAGGCAGTTTTGCTTGTAGGGGAGTAGAGAAATAGGATCACAGAAGGGTCTTTTAAAAAGATATATACTGGAGAATTATATATATATATATTCTTATATATAAAAATATATATGCTATATACATATGTGTATATATACATGTGTGTGTATGTGTATATATCCTTTTTTTTTTTTGAGGTGAGTCTCATTGTGTTGCCCAGGCTGGCGTTGAACTTTTGGCCTTAAACGATCCTCCCACCTCAGCCTTCCAAGTAGCTGAGACTATAGGTGTGCCACCGTGACCAGTGAATTTTTGTTGTTAGCTAACTGATTAATTAAATGATCAGGTAGAGAGATTAAATTAAATGAAAAGGAGAGATTGATGGTGCAAGGGGAGATGGGGAAGAGGGAGGCAGGTCCCAGAAGGTGATAGGACTTGGGAACGGATCAAGGAATGCAGAGAGAATGAATGGATGCAGGTAGGTGGGGGATTTGGTGATGGAAATATGAGGACGGGCTGACCCTTTTTCTTTTGTCTTAAGGAAAATATAGACATGGCCATGAATCAGAGGGATGGAGTTTGGTCTGAGGTGAGAGCAGAGACAGTGTGAAAAGAGGGGTAAATACAGTCAGCAGGTGTGGGATTGCTAGACAGTGAGTGCCCATGGGATATTTGTGTTCACCGGTTTGAAGTGAGGCTAGTCTTCCCATTTGTCTGTTTTCCTTAAGCACTGTTCAGCTCTTAGGTGCAGGCCCAGAGTACGTGGAGAGTTGTTTTTAAGCAGGGGTGAAGGAGAATGGAGTAAAGGGGAGTTACAGATGTTTGCAAAGGAATGACGTTGATGACCTTGGAATCTAATGTGGGTTAGAGGAATGGTGAAGACGAGAGGGGGATGATGGCACAAAAGTGAGAGGTTAAGTTCCCTGAGATGAGAAACCAAACTAAACCTGATCTTCCAAGGTCCCAGCTCCCCATGGTAGGTACTTTCTGTTAGAAGGCTTAAGAAGAAAATAGATTTTTTTCAATTGTGATAGCGATAGCTAGTAACTGCTTTTTTTTTGAGGATTTACCAAGTGCTAAGTGCTGAGCAAGTATTAATTACTATATGTGCTGAAGACAACCAACCCTTTGAGGTACGTAATTTATCTCTGTTTTACGGATGAGGACATTAAGGCTTAGTCAGGCCAAGTAACTTGTCCAAGGTCACACAGCTGGTAAGTGGCAGAGCCAAGACTTGAACAGCTGCTGTTCTGCTACAAAGATCACATTTTTTTTTTTTTAACCCCACCGTTCTGGACTACTGCTGTCTCCTCTAACTCATTGGTGTACTTGAGATAGGGACAACTTATTCTTTAAAACGAACCGTAGTTAATTACATCTAAATTAATCTTTTTTCCCTTAGAAATAGTATTAGAGAACTCAAATATTTGTTTAAGCTTGAAGTTAAATGAATAAAAGCCAGGAAGGGACTTTGATAAACCAGAAAATATCTGCCTTGTTTAATGTGGATAGGCAATATTGGTTTCAGTCCATTTTGTGTCCCCAGAGGTCTGTTTTTTTGTTTTTTTTTTTTTGTTTTTTTTTTTGAGTTGGAGTTTTGCTCTTGTTGCCCAAGCTGGGGTGTATTGGCGTGATCTCAGTTCGCCACAACCTCCATCCATCTCTGGGGTTCAAGCGATTCTTCTGCATCAACCTCTTGAGTAGCTGGGATTATAGGCGCACGACACCACTCCCAGCTAATTTTGTATTTTTTAGTAGAGACAGGGTTTCTCCATGTTGGTCAGGCTGGTCTCGACCTCTTGACCTCAGGTGATCCACCTGCCTCGGCCTCCCAATGTGCTGGGATTCCAGGCATGAGCCACCACAGCCAGCTGATATCTGGGTTTTTATGGGAAGATTTTTGAATTCTTAAATGTTGATTACTAATTACTGTTTTTAGAAGCTTTGATAGATCAAACAGAACCAGCTTGCAGGCTCCATTTAGCCCACTGGCAACTAAGTACAACCTGTGCCTTAAAATATGGTGTCTTTTTAATTGTAATAAATAATATAAAAATAAGTAATTTAAGTATCAGAATTTTGACTAGGCCAGGTAGACAGGACTGAGTTTTTTACTCAAATGTAGTTAATGCAGATGCAGTCAGAATATGGAGTAAACAGTGATACTGAGCAAAATAAGTTGAAAAACAGAAAAATAGTAAGTTTTAACAGTTGGATTATATTATTCTAGTCCAGGCTCTGCCATTCATACTTTCCTTGAGTTTTCTTTGGGTTCTTTATGACTCTAAACACATCACTATATGTATCTCTAAATGTGTGTCTGGGTTCATCCCACAAAGGGGCCTTGTGAAAATACTGAGAAATAAGTAGGCCTTGAGGGAGAAAAAGAAAAATACACATTTGTTTTAAGACCAGTTGCCAATTTAAAAGTGAAATGTATACCAGTGAAAGAATAACAATGTTTGGGGTAAGAAATAGAAAAGATTTTGTTAATATTTTATGAGAGTATAATTATTATTCTGGTGTATTTTAGGCTTCAGGATATCTACTTTGTTCCTGTTATGACATTTATAAAAAAAAAAAAAAACTTCTATTTTCAGTTGGATGGATTTATTGCTCGAAACTGGGCCAGTCAAAAATCAGCTTTGGGAAGTGCACTTGATCCACTTGCTGATAAAATACTTATCAGTATCTTATATGTTAGCTTGACCTATGCAGATCTTATTCCAGGTAAGAACGCATCATGCGTACTTTTTAATAGCACAGGGAAGAATGAAATTAGTCAGGTTAGGATTTATCTTGAGAGACAAATAATTTTTGTTCCAAAAATATATTTTTCAACTTTAAACTGTTTCCCTAATTTTAAACTGTTGAACTATTTTGTTTGTCAAACTACTTGTGGATTTTAAAATTTATGTCCTTGTTTTACTGGTAAAATTAGTTACTTTCCTAGTAAGATTGCTTAAAATTAAAATTGAGCAAATATTTCACAGTGCCAATTCATATCACTCTGGAATTTTTTGGTGCAATATTATGTATTTTTAGTGCCTAGCTTTATGAAAGCAATTGAGTTTTCCTAAGTTTATTATTACCTTTATTAATATAGTTTATTCATAGTAAATGAGAACTCTGAAATTCTGACGATGTCTATAAAATTTCACATTGTTATTTAGACCCTATTAAATCATACATATAGTTTGTACATTATATGAATACTTTTTCTAATAAGATTTTATGATCTTTTGCTTTGTATTTTGCATGTGCTTTTCTGATTGTTCATTTTCTACTTCAGCTGTATTTCTCAATCAGTTTTTCTCCCTCAGACCAGGTTAAACTGTTTTTTCCCAAGAGCTAGGAATCATATCTGATCATGCTGGGACTTCCTTCACTGTCAGTCTTAGAGTTTGCATTTTTGAGGGTTAGAAGAAGAAAAAACAAAAGGAAGAAAGAAAGAAACCCTATCTGAGAACAGAGAAGCTGCCACATGGTCCCTCGGTATCATGTTATTATTGACACTTGGTAGAAAGAAGTATAGTGGCATTCGGTTTAGTGTAGTCTCCGCTAACTAGAAATTATTTTTCTTTTAGTCTTCTAAATTCTCATGCCAAATTAAAAATAAATTGGACTAATGTTAACTTTTATGTGCTTCTTTGAAAGTTAGAATTGAGATGTGGTATGTGATTGGGGAATGGGTATGTGTTTGTGTGTGGGGGGTGTGTGTGTGTGTGTGTGTTGCCTAGGCTGGTCTCAAACTCCTGGGCTCAAGTGACCCTCCCACCTCGGCCTCCCAAAGTGATGGGATTACAGGCTCGAGTCACCATGCTTGGCTCCTCCCATTTTTTCAAAGTTATATTGTGTTTTGATGTATTGTTTTCCAAAGGCCTTATAGAAAAAAAATATATTTTTCAGACTCAGTGCAAGGTCATTTCTAAGTTGTCTGTTTTCCTCCCCATTGATTCGTCTGTCTTTGCATCAGTGCCACTCTTCTTATTGCTTTGCTAAAAGTCTCAATATCTGGTAGAGCAAGTCCTTCCATGTTGGACATTCATAGCCCTTTCCATTTGTTTCCATTTGTTATAAATTTTAGAATCAACTTTTCCAAGAATTGGCAATTTTCCAGAGAAAAATCTGTTCGGATTTTTATTCGGATTGGAATGAATTTATGATCTGTTTGGAAGAAGTTGCTTCTTTGCAATATTAAGTCTTCCAGTCCATAGACATGCTATATCTACTCTATTCAGGTCTTTTTTTAGTATCTCTCAAAGTTTTATAGTTCTCTAAAGAAAGATAATAAGCATTTTTTGTTAGACTTATTTCTAAGTACATGATAGTTCTTGGTGCTTTTACAAATGGTAGCTTTTAATTTTCATTTTCTGGCCGGGCACAGTGACTTATCCCTGTAATCCCAGCACTCTGGGGGGCCAAGGCAGGCGGATCACTTGAGATCAGGAGTTCAGGAGTAACCTGGCCAGCATTGTGAAACCCTGTCTACTAAAGGTCTAAAAATTAGCCATATGTGATAGCATGTGCCTGTAATCCCAGCTATTTGGGAGGCTGAGGCACAAGAATCTCTTGAACCTGGGAGGCAGAGGTTCCAGAGAGCCTAGATTACACCACTGCACTCCAGGGTGAGTAATGGAGTGAGACTCTTTCTCAAAAAAAAAAAAAGAATTTCATTTTCTAATAACTCCATGTTATGAAAAAATCAGTTCTGTTTCTAATGTGGATTGTTGGGTCTAGTGAAATTTGCTAACTCTTGTTCTAATAATATACATATAAATTATCTTGGATTTTTTTATATGCTCAATTGTCTTGCATATAATTAATGACAGTGTTTTCTTCTTTTCCAGTCCTTATACTTTTTGTTTCTTTTACTTGCCTTGCTGCACTGGGTAGTACAGTGTTGAATAGGAGTGCTGTCAATGTCTTATTCCCAATCTCATAGAAAAGCTTTTAGCGTTTCACTGTTAAAGATGATGTTTGCTGTTGGTTTTTGTAAGTATCCTTTTTCAAGTTAAGAAGTTCACTTCTGTTGGGAGTTTAAGAGTTTTTTCTCACAATTGAGTACTAAATTTTTAAATTTTTTTTGTAGAGATGCGGTTTTGCTATGTTGCCCATGCTGATCTTGAACTCTTGGTCTCCCAAAGTTCTGCGATTACAGGCATAAGCCACCACCCCTGTCCTGGATATTAAATTTTATCAAACTTCTTTTGTGTATTATTATGGTCATATAATTTTTCCCGTTAGCTGTTAATGTTTGGTGAATTACAAATATTAATGTAATATTAGTTCTAATGTTAACCTGTGATTTCTGGTATAAATCCAACATTCCCTTGATATATTATGAAAAGATTGCTGGATTCGACTTGCTAATATTTTGTGGAAGATTTCACATTTTAATTCATAAGATTGGCTTGGGATTATTTTCTCCATATATTCTTGTTGGGTTTTCATATCAAATTTATAACAAGCCTCATAAATCTTGCATTCTTGGAAGATGTTTGATTATAAATATTTCCTCTTAAATGTTTAGTAGAATATTTTAAAGCCATTGAGGGCCTGGAGTTTTCTTTAGGGAAGAGTTTTAAAATAGGTAATTCATTTACTTTGTTACAGGATGATTCAGGTTTAAAGTACATCTTTTTTTTTTTTTTTAACCTTCAACCAACTCACTCCATATTATATCTTTTGACCATTTTTTAAGTTGCGATGTTTTTCTAGGAATTTGTCCATTTGATCTACATTATAAAAAATTTAGGTGGTATTTATGGTATCCTCATTAACTTTATTTATTTACTACTACTTGTGGAGCAGGGCTACCCCATAGGCAGTGTGCCCAGAATAGCTCTCATTAACTTTTGGATGTTTGTAGAATATTTAGTAATGTCCTTCCTTCTCTCTTGGTTATTTTTTTGTTCCTTTTTTTAAAAAATCTTTTTTGCCAGAGGTTTGTCAGTTTTATGAATCTTTTCAAAGAACCAACTTTGAGTTTTGTCAGGCCTCTCTGATATGTTGTTTACTACTTCATTAAATCTTGCTGTTTTATTTTTTTCTTCTTCTTCAGGATTTTTTTGCTGTTCTTTTTCTAAATTCTTTTTTTCTTTTTCTTTTCTTTTTTTTTTTTTTTTTGAGTGCAGTGGCATGATCTCAGCTCACTGCAACCTCTACCTCATGGGTTCAAGTGATTCTCCTGCCTCAGTCTCCCAAGTAGCTGGAATTATAGGCATGTGCCACCACACCCGCTAGTTTTTTTATATTTTTAGTAGAGACAGGGCTTCATTATGTTGCCCAGGCTGGTCTTAACCTCTTGACCTCCCCCTCCTCTGCCTCTCAAAGTGCTAGGATTACAGGCATGAACCACCACGCCCAGCTCTGAATTCTTTACATCAATTCTGTCTAGAAATAAAATGGAGATTCATATGTAATTAAAAATTCTTGATAGCTATTTTTAAAAAAGGAAACATGAAAATTATAATAGTATAGTTTATTTAATCCACTATATAAAAAGTATTGTCATTTTAACATGTAATCAATAAAAAATGGTTTTTTTTTCATATCACACCTTCAAGGTCGTGTGGACTTTGAATGGTGCAGGTATAGGTGAATACTTAACTTGTTTTTCAGCTTTTCTTTTCTGAAGATTGTATATAAGACTGTATGTCTTCCTCTAAGTATCACTTTCTTTTCTTTCTTTCTTTTTTTTGAGATGAAGTTTTGCTCTTGTTTTCCAGGCTGGAGTGCAGTGGTACGATCTCGGCTCACTGCAGCCTCCGCCTCCCAGGTTCAAGCCATTCTCCTGCCTTATCCTTCAGAGTAACTGGGACTACAGGCACACACCTTCATGCCCAGCTAATTTTTGTATTTTTAGTAGAGATGGGGTTTCTCCGTATTGGTCAGGCTGGTCTCGAACTCCCAACCTCAGGTGGTCTGCCCTTGGCCTCCCAAAGTGCTGGGATTGCAGGCGTTAGCCACCACCCCTGGCCTAAGTGTCACTTTCATTGCATTTCCTATGTTGGTTTCAGTGTGTCTTTGTGCAGTATAGAATATTCTTTTAGTTCCATTACTATTATTTCATTGACCTGTTAGGTTAAAAATAAATATATCTTAATTTGTTGCCAATTTGTGGGGAATTTTTTAGTTATCTTTTTGTTATAATATAAATCATAATAACCTTGTGTTCAGAGAACATTCTTTAGATTTCAGCCTTTCAGCCCAGTAGAGTCAGATTTTATAAATAATCCATGAATCCTTCAAATGAATGTGTATTCTGCAGTTCTTGAGTATGATGTTCTGCATATGTCTATTAGATCAAGTTTTTAATCCTGCTATTTAAGTCTTCTGTTTCTTCAGTTTTTTTATTTTTTTAATTTTTTTTTTTTTTGGTTTCGGTTTGTTCAGCAGTTAGAGTTTCCTACCGTGTGTCTATTGTCTCTGTAGTTGTGGTTTCGCTTTGTATATTTTTTGTTGTTGAGCCAGAGTCTTGCTCTGTCTCCCAGGCTAGAGTGCAGTGTTGCCATCTCAGCTCACTGCAGCCTTTGCCTCCCGGGTCCAAGGAATTCTCTGCCTCAGCATCCTGAGCAACTGGGATTACAGGTACCCGCCATCACACACAGCTAATTTTTGTATTTTTAGTAGAGACAGGGTTTCACCATCTTGGCCAGGCTGGTCTTGAACTCCTGACCTCGTGATCCACCCACCTCGGCCTCCCAAAGTGCTGGGATTACAGGCAT